AAACATTTAATAAAATAAAATAAATTGTAGCATTCTGTTAGAACTAGAATTAGAATACTTATTACTCATTCACAAACCACTGTCATATATTCTTGTTATTTTTGATAATAAGTTTACTTATTTTAGGCCAGCTTATATTGTGAGAACACATTTAGTAATTGATACATTTGTTAATCCTATTCTTGTCCTTCAAATATCTTTCAAGTCTGTGAGGTCTGTCATTGAAAACTAAAAAAATTTTAAAAATGCATTATTTTTACAAGATAAATTTATTGGAATCTGAAAAAGAAGTCAGGATAGAGGCAGGGTAATTAAAAATGGACATTGGAGAGATATGGGGATGATGGTCATGTTATATTATTTTATTTATATGCTGCTTCCACAAGTATGCTGATGTGAAAATATATTGACCTATATACTTCTGACTTATGCACTTCTCTCTATATATGCTGTACTTAATACATAGCATTTTTAAAGAATATAAGTATATGAAAAATGCAAATAAGGACTTCAAATATATTGGCTACATTTTTGAAATACAAAAGACAAAAATAAAATTTTAAATGGCTACTAATAATCAATAAGCTTAAAAACCAAAAGAAAAATGTGTAGATAGTATAAATCAGCAGTAAATTAATAAAGGAAATAACTCAAATGATCAGTAAATTAGCTAAAATATTCAATTTACCCATTAACACAAAAACCTGAAAACAAAAACAAAGCATTACTTTTCTGGTAAATCGAGAAAAAGTTAAAAGTAACACAATTTTAATTATCAAGACTCTTTGTAACTATTTTTAAGTGATAATAAATTTTTCAGTTGGGTTCTTCAAAATATAAAGCTTAGTAAAAGAGAAAAACATAGTAAGGTATCATCTTACCCCAGTTAGAATAGCTATCATCAGAAAGTCAAAAAATAACAAATGCTGGTGAAGCTGCAGGGGAAAAAAAATGGAACACTAATACAATGTTAGTGGGAATGCAGATTAAGACAGCCATTATGGAAAATAGTATGGAGTTTCCTCAAAATATTAAAAATAAATCGACCATATGTCCACCTATCCCACTTCTGGAAAATATGCAAAGGAAATGAAATAAGCATATGACAGAGATACCTGCACTCTCATGTTTATTATAGTCCAATTCACAACAGCAAAGATGTAGAGTCAACCTAGATGCCTATCAGTGGATGACTGAATAAAGAAAATGTAGTTTCAAAATTTTCTAAGTATGATGCTCCAAATGCATTTAGATTCAATATTACATATTTGGAATTCATATATTGCAAATGTTAAAAATAGTTATTTTATGATTAGGAAATTTGTTGTAGAAGTTTAAGTATGAATTGATGGAACAGTGACATAATAATGAAGATGGTCAGCAGTGAATGGAATTGAGATATATTTTTAAAGTAATATCTGTAATATTTGTCAAAATAGCCAAAAGATGGAACAATCCAAGTATCTATTGAAGGATAAATGGATTTTTAAAATGTGGCATATACATACAACAGAACATTGTTAAGCCTCCTAAAAGAAAGGAATTCTGACACTTGCAACAACATGGATGCACCTTAGAAACATCATGGTAAGTGAAATAAGCCAGCCACAGAAGGACGAATACTGTGTGGTTCCACTTATATTAGGGTGGTACCTGGAGTATTCTTATTTATGAAAATATAAAGTAGAGTACGTGTCAGGGGTTGGAAGAAGGAGAGATGGAATCAATTGTTTAATAGGTACAGAGTTTCCATTTGGGAATATGAAAAAGTTCTGGAGATGGGTGGTTATGATATTTTCACAACAATATGATTGCACTTAATGCTCTTCAACTGTACATTCTGAAATGGCAAGCATGGTAAATTTTCTGTTACATACATTTTAACACAGCAAAAAAATAAACAACAAAACCCAAGGTTTGTTGTGTTCTTCCCTCAAATATGAACTTGATCTCTGAACTTCAATAGTATTTTAGCTAGCATTTACTGCTTTTAATTTCTTCATTGAGAAATAGTATTCAGCATTACTAACCAATCAAGTTGACAGGACCTTTGGTGGAACTTAGTCTCCCATACAGTGTTGTACTCAAAGCTTTAGCCTTATTAGGCATTCGATTCTTGTTGGATTGTAAACACTATAATTATTGCCTTAATTTTATAATTTCTAATTTCGTTCAATAATAGATAAGTTAGAAGGTCTTAAATTGGTCATTTCAATCAATCCTTTCCTCCTAGTCAACTCTTCTTGTGCTTGTTATCTTAGTAAGTGGTACTGTTACCTACTCAGTCACCCAAGCAGGTGTATACAATTATAACATAATATGATAACTACTAAGATAGAAGTAAAATGTAGATATACATACACAATGGAATATTACTCAGCCATACAAAGGATGAAATCCTGATATTTACAACAGAATGGATGGAACTGGAGATCATTATTCTAAGTGAACTAAGAAACAGAAAGAGAAATATACCTCAAAGACCCAGTCACTTTCCTCCATGAAAGCACTTCACATTCTTCTCTAGGTCAGGTAGGAGGTCTGCCAACCTTAGTGGGTTTTGTCCTCACAGTGCCTTTCCTGAGTATAGGCAGAGCTGGGTGGGAGGATCGGAGAAAATGTAAATGAATTTAGCAATCATTTCTGGCATCTGCTGAGATTCCAGATCTCTATCCTCATTCCAGCTCAAAGTCTGATGGGGGAGGAAGACATAAAACAAGGTACTGACAGTACAGTGTGATAAATTCTGGGAGGGAAGATGTGAGAGCTCAGAAAAGGGGACCAGATCCAGTATGGGAGTTAGGGAGGGCTTCCCAGAGGCAATGCCATCAGAGCTCAATTTCCAATGTGACAAATGGTGAGCCAGCTAAAGACTGGATACCGGGGTTACTGCAGCTTTATTTAAAATGCCTTCCAGAAGAGTGAAAGACAATCTTCAATTTTTAAAGATCGTATGTATACCATGATATATTCCTATTCCCCAATTCTATGCAGCTGTATCTCCAGCCACTTAGTACAGTACCTGGCACACTGTGAAACTTGATACATATTTGTAAAATTAATGAATGAATCCAGAAAGAGTAATAAATGTCACAGAAAAAGAGCTGATATCCATATTATTCAATGGCTTTCTGCAACTCAAAAAGAAAATTATAAATACCAATTAACAATAGCTATACCTCATTCTCACAACACTCCTAAGGGGTACATTCTATAACTTTCCCATTTTATAGATGAAGAATCTGAAGCTTAGTAAACACCACAGCTACTAAGATAACTTGGATGAGTCTGACTCCAGAGCATATTCTTCTAGCCTTTTACTGCCAACCCACCCCAAAAATGAGCAAAAAGTGGATCAAATGATTTGGAGGAGAAATAGAAAAATGATCAAGAAACATATGAAAACATATTAAATCTAATTAATAATAAATGAATAGCAAATCAAAGGAACCAGTTTTTGTTCCTTTAAGATTAACAAAGATTCTAAAAATTGATAATAACAAATGGTAATGGCATGTTTGGGAGAAAACAGACACCAACAGCACTGCTGTGGATATACAACGTATGTACTGGGAAAATTGTTAGTATCAAAACTTTAAATGTGTATATGCCTTTTGACCTAGGAATTTTTTTAGGATGTCACCCTATAAAAGATACTGTCACATATGCCCAAGGTTATTTATTGCAACATTATTCATAATAGAGCAGGAAAGTCCCTGGGAATAACCTAAATTTCAAACAATAAGGTAATGTTTAAATAAATTATACTGCATTCAGATTTAGTAATATTATAACTGCACTACACAGAATGAATTAATATGGGAAGTCTTCTGTGGAATACTGACATGTGGCTGAACAGAAAAAAAGGAAATTGTAGATCAATATGTAGCTTATAATGTCCTTTTTTAAAGATTTATTTCATTTATTTGAAAGACAGAGTTATTAGAGAGAGGTAAAGACCGAGAGAGAGGGGTCTTCCATCTTCTGGTTTACTCCCCAGATGGCCGCAAAAGTACCTCCAAATGGTCACAAAGGCTGGAGCTGAGCTGATCCAAAGCCAGAAGCCAGGAGCTTCTTCCAGGTCTCTCTCACATGGGTGCAGGGACCCAAGGACTTGGGTCATCCTCTGCTGCTTTCCCAGGCACATTAGCAGGGAGTTGGATAGGAAGTAGAGTAACCGGGACTCGAACTGGTGCCCATAAGGGATGCCAGAGCTGCTGGCCCAGTCTTTAACCTGCTGTGCCACAGCTCCAGCCCCCATGATGTCCTTTTTGTAAATGTAATATTAATGATGATACTCTTTCTCCACAGATAAAATATAGTCTTGCTGCCTTAGAATTGAGGAGTGAAGCAGCAGAAGACAGTTAATAAAAGAGATAGGAAAAAGGTAATAGAAGACAGAGAACTTCAAACTTTAACTGCATATCCTGAAAGGGAAAGAAGTGGGTGAGTTTTGGCACAAGACTACATTAAGTTTATAGTCGGGTGCTATATTTTCTAGATGGATAATTATCAGTAAGTTGCTCCACCTTTCTGAGCCTCAATTTCTTCATGGGGATAACAGTGTCTATCTCTTAAGGTCTTTAGAAGGCTAAATTAATCCATGTAAAACACACAGAAAAGGCTCTTGTGCAGAGTAAGCACTGAGTTGAGTGTTTCCTACTAGTAATGTTATTGAATTGTTACAACAGCCTGGGATGTAAATTCTGGGGAAGCAAACACTGTATTTTATGGTCTGACTCCAGAGCCCTTCCCACTTGTGCTACAGTAGCTTCTGGGTTTTATTGCCCTCCTATTATGGTTGAGGAGATTTAGGGTCAGAGAGGTAGTTTTGCTCAAGGCCCCCTTGGTCTGTATGGAGGGTCCAATTCCGAAGCTCTGTTGAGCCCATTTTACCACTCCAGAGGGATAAGAGAAAGAAAATAGAGGGAAAAGCCATAGCTGAGGAAGGGGGAGGTGAAAGGGGACTCCTTTATGTTTTATCTCCAGCAGAGGCCTGAGATACCTTAGGGGCCAATGCAAGGCCTGGGCAACAGAAGGCAGGGTGGGTGGAGCTGAGGCAGGGAAGGGATAAATGCCAGATCCTAACCCACAACACCCACCCGTGGTTCGTTCGTCCTCAGTGCAGGGCAACAGGTAAGAGCTCCTTTCAGCCTGGTGCCCTCTATCTGGTCCGTCTGCCCTGTTCAGGGACCCCTCACACTGAATCTCTGGTCTGACCAGATCTTTCCCTTTGTCTGTTTCTTACCACCTGTCTCTTTGTCATTTTGGTGTTTGCTCCTCCCCCCCCCCATCTCTCCCTGCCATTTCTTGTTTTCCAGCATTTTCTCTTTTCCCCTTTTCTGTCTTTTGTTAAGTTTTCAAAACCACTCACTTCATCACTAACACTCTCGCTTGCTCTATTTTTCCTTCTTCTGAGTTCTCTACCTTTGCTCCTAAATTTCTCTTTCTCTACGCCCCCTCTCTCCCTCCTCTTTTCTCTTTCCTCAGTTTGTGTCTCTAGTATTTCTTTCTCTCTCTCTTCTGCTTCTCAATTGAGAAAGGTGTCTTAATATGTCTTCCTGCAATTCTCCATCCCTCCTACCTTTGACTCCTCTTTGTCCAGCTAGCAGCAGAGGGTCAGAACCTAGGGACCAGAGCTAGGAAGGGAAAACTGAGGGGATGTAGGAGGCATGGGAATGAAGAATTGAGTCATGAAAGACTTGGGAAGTCGAGAGACAAAATTGACAAAAATAAGGGGGGAGGTGGAAGAGGAATGTTGTGTCATTATGCAAAAAAGGCAACAGATTTGTATTCTCACCCTAAGTTGCTGCGAAAACTTCAGCTTTTCATCCTCTGAAAAAGAGGGCTTGGTCTATGATTCCCACAACTTTTCTCATTTTTATTTTGTGGTCTTCCAAATTTTTCTGTTTCTCAGAACGTCTGATTCCAGGTATTTAAAAAATCTGTATGTCTTTTTTAGCATGACTTGATCTTTGTTTCTTACCATCTGCCAAAAGATGGTGGGTTGAGGGTGCTAAGAAGGAAGTAAGACCTGATGCCTATGACTCCTGAAGGGAAGTGACCATTTCCCCTCCAGACTTAATTGATTCATGCAAAGCAGGGCACAAAAGGGAGACAGAGGAGCAAGGAATGCTGTATCGAATAGTTTTTGGTTCTCTGCTGGGGTAGAGTTGAAGTTGGCTCTGGTACTGTGGATTAGTTGCTGACATAAGGAAGCATATTAAAGGTGCAGGGCACTTCCTAAGACCTAAAATTTCACCATCATTTCTTTGGCTGAAAACATTGTTTTAAACGGACCCCTGGCAAGGATTACCACACAGTGGGTACATAAGTTGCTAAATGGGGGGATGAATGAATGAATGAATGTTCAATAGTACCTAATCTGTTCCATTGGTAAAGGCATTGGTCACAAAAGGCAAATGTCCTGGAAATTGACCTAAGTTAACAAAGCACAAGGGATAAATATCTGGATCAGGTCTTTAATCAAGAAAATGTGCAGTAACATTTGAATCATGGATGCACAGTCTCTGGAACAAGACTGCCTAGGTTCAAACCCTTCTTTTTCCGATTCTTAGCTCTTTGACATGGATAAGTTACATAATATTGGGGGTCCTTGGTTTTCTCATAACAAGGTTGTCATGAGGATTAAATAAGTTGAAGAATGTGAAGCATTTACAACAGAGCCTGGCACAGTGAGGGATCTGTGAGTATTTGATTATCAGAACTGGACGGGATCTATGGAATTATCTAATCCCCTGTCTGCAGAGAAACTAAGACCCAGAGAGGGCAAGTACTGTAAGTTAACACACTAAGTTGTAACAGGATTGAGACAGGAATCAGGTCTTCAGCTTTCTAGAACTGGCCTAGATGTGACTGACCTTGGCTGTACTTTATAGAAAGTGGAGAAAATAAAAACACTGGCTGATACTTGTTCAGTATTTATCCTGGGATAGGTACTCTTCTAAAAACACTTTCTATGGATTATATGACTGAATCCTCACACATCCCTGTAAAGTAGATAGTCCTTGTTATTATCTACAATTTACATAAATAAGATATAGAGCAGGGAAGTGACTTTTCTAAGGTCCCAAAGTTAGCAAGTGGTGGAGCAAGGCCTGATTCGAACCTAAGTAGTCTGGTTCCAGACTTTATGTTCTTAATACTCTAATTACCTAAAATGCTTCCTTGATTCAATTTTACTCACTCCAGTCTCTTGGCAAGTAGTAGGATAGAATGAAATAGATTCCAAGGTACTTTGACTCAAGGTTATGGGTCATAATGAGGGCTAGGCAAGTGAGGCAGGACAAATTCCAGGAAAGGAATATCAGAACAAGAGAAATCGGAACTGCAGCTTGAAAGAACTTGAGAACACAACAAATTCCAAGAAGCAGTCTATATTCCCCAGGACCCTGAGCATATTATCATCACCAAAAGTCTCTTAGAGGTGGTGAGCATATTAAACTCTTATTATTTTTATATATGAAAGGTGGGGCTTAATCTGCTACCATCCCAAGGCAGGATTGGACTTTGCCTCTAATCTTGGGATATTCCTCAATGTCGTTGTCATGTAAGTCTTGCTGTTGGGTGGAAGGAATGTACAGGATAATGGAAAATGGCCATCTGCCTTGCCTGTCTGTTCCTGGGTATCCAGCTCTTTTACCACCAGTACCAGGGCCAGAGCCAGCCCCAGCCAGATGCTCAGACATGATTCCAGGAAGGGGCTCCTCTTCTCTCCCACACCCTAGTCTCAGCTTAGGGAGTGGTCAGACCCCAAAGATGATAAACTCTGGGAGCTTTATCTGTGGTTTGCAGGCTCATCTCCCAGCGCTTCAGCCTTCACAGGCAGGCAGGGGTGGGAAACTTGTAATTCTAGATATGAGGTAGGCACTGGATCCAATCCATTACCTATCATGTAAAGTAGGCATAATTACTTTTTATTTGACAACTGATGAAAGCCAAGACTCAGGGAGGGGAAGTAACTTCTTCAAGATCATCCAGTTAGGGGGTTGGAATTTAAATAAGAAAACCTAACATCTACATTTATTGAAAACTTACTCTGTGCCAGGAACTATCCTAAAGGCTTAACATGGGTTATTTCATGTATCCTTTCAACAACCTTTCTACCTCTGCCAATTTCAAGACCAACATGCCCCCAGTTTACATACCAACCCAGGCTGCTATGGAAAGCTGTGAGAGTTGGGGAGGGGGGTAGGAATGCTCTGGTATAGAACATGGGAAGGAGACTGCTTTGCGAGGCAGGGGAGAGGACTTGCCCTATGAGATTAAGGAAAGAAGGAGGTTGCCATATGAGGACAAGGTCACAAGCTCCTCCTGTTCACCTGTCCCTCCCAACATAAGGCTCTATACACTGAGGGTACTGTTAGCATCTACTCAGTAGCTTTCTAAGGCTGTTCCAGGGTCTTAGTCTTCCCATGTGTTCCCATTATTCTATCCTTTATCTTGTTTCACCCTCTGATTCTGGCTCTCCAACTTGCCCTTTTTATTTAAATCTGTTTTTCTCTCTTGCTTTCTCCAGTTGTCTTTCTCTTGGAAACTCTCAGCCCCCTCTCCTCCCAACCCTCATCCTTCCCTGTAGCCACCTCTCAGTCTCTATCCTTTGACCTAATCATTTATTCTACTCCCTCTGCCCTTCTGTCTGTCTCTCCCTAACTTCTCTGCTTAGCCCACCCTAAGGCAGCATTTCTCCTTCATTTTTGTGTCTGACTGACTCTGTCCCTGCAGGATTCTTCTCTCCTGCTCTTGTTTTTATGACTCTTTGTATGAGCCTCCAGGCTCTTGGATCTTTCCTCATGTCCCTTTTGTGTCCTTCTGTCCCTGCTTCTCCTGCTGCACTGGCTAGTCTCCCATGCCTTCCCTCTTAACTAAGTCTCTTTCCCCATCCTTCTATATTTCTCATCATCTTCTTGTTCTCAGTTTGTGTCATTCCTCCTCTTCACATCTGTTTGCATCTCTATCCTGTATCCTTTCCCTCTGTTTTGACCTCTTTCTCTCCTTCAATTTCTGTTTTTCTGATTCTACCACCACCATACCTTTGTTCCCTACACTTTCCTCCTTTTATTTTTTCGAAATTTTATTTCCTTCTGACTACTCTTGCACTACTCTCCTTTTCGTTCCTCCATCAGAGTACCTGTTCATTCATTTATTCACTCCCAAATTCAACAGCTATTTCTTGAGCACCTATATGCAATTTGGTTTCTCTTTTCTTGATCTCCTCTCTGTCCACTTCCTCTCCTTTTCCTCTTTCAGTGACCCACAGAATATGTTTTTGTGTCTTGTCTTCCAGCTCCATTGGGCCCTGCTTTCACCTCCTCCTTTATCTATCTGTGCTTATCCAAAAACCAGAAGCAAATCCACAGGCTGAAAAATACCATCTGGGGACAGAGAGTCGGCAGTCCCTACTTACCCTTTTTTCCTGTTCCCTGGACTTCCTGAGGCTGGTCCCTGTGGTCTCAAGCTCCTTCTCCATCTCTGGCTAAGTTTGATTAGGAAACACCCTGGATAAGCCTCAGAGGTTCTGGCAAATGGCATCTGTTTGCACTAGCAGGCTGAATCTTCACTTGGCCGAAGTCAATATTCTTAGACTCTTGGCCTCACGGGTTGGTGGTTTGTCAACTCTCGTTCTGCCTTACACAAACACTTTGGTGATCCTCACCATCACAGAAGGAGTGGGTAGCAGAGTCTGAGTCAGAAGCCAGGCTTTCTGACCTCCAGTTCAAACTCTTTCCTTCACCAGTTTGCCTCATGGTCAGTTTCCTATTTCTTTCTCTCTGATACCCTAATGCTACATTTTAATATTGGGAAAGAAGTTCTTTCTTTGAAAGAATAGTAAAGGTATCTCTAAGGGCAGCAAGCTTTGGATGGGGAGCTAGAGACAAAGGATCAAACACAAGAATGATCCTTTGCTTTTGGTCAGGCCATCATAATCCAATCTCATCCCCTCCATGTCTTCTGCAGGACTTCGGGCTCAAGATGGTGGCAGCAGCCATGTTGCTACGATGTTGCCCGGTGCTTGCCCAGAGTCCCACAGGCCTCCTGCGTAAGGTGACTAAAGCTCATCAGTTCCTGTTTGGTATTGGACGCTGCCCCATCCTGGCTGCCCAAGGACCAGCATGTTCTCAGATCCACCTTAAAGCAACCAAAGCTGGAGAAAGTAAGAAGAGGCCACTGGTAAAAAGGGAAGAATATTTGGGCCCTCAAGACAAGGTTTCAAATCATACTGGCTATCACTGCCTAACAATTTGGAGAGTTCATGTGAAAAGTATCAAGGCAGAATAAAGTGGTCTAAATATTTACCCAGCATCTGTCTTCTCCCAGAATTTCTAGAAAGAGCTTCAATCCCATACCCCTCATATACTACACACTAACCATGCTGAAACTACTTAAAAATGCCCAAATCAACCCTATAGTTTCAAGATTCTGTGCCTTTGCTCCTGCCAGACTATTCTCTCTAATACTCTATGCCAGAGTAACTCATATTTCTCATTCAACACAGAACTTGAGCATCATCTCCTCTGTGATGCCCAAAAACTCCAGCTTGTCCCATTCTGATTCTGGGTCATGTCCCCTGCCTCTTCTAGACTTCTGTAGCCCCTGTCCTCTCTTACATCCCAACACTTCACACAACATGTCTTCAGTGTGTGCTATTCTCACCAGCTCAGGAGAACCCTCTAGCACAGAGACTAAACTCTATCTCTGTGTCTCCATTGTAAGTCTCAGTAATCATTGTTAAACTAAACTTGTGACTAGAAATGTACCCACAACTAATTTCTTATCTTTGCATAGACTCTTCATCTTGGGCCAAAGGCCACTGTCCCTTCATGTTGTCAGAACTCCAGGATGGGAAGAGCAAGATCGTGCAGAAAGCAGCCCCAGAAGTCCAGGAGGATGTGAAGGCTTTCAAGACAGGTTGGAGTCAAGTTCTACCTTATCCATTTTCTACTCCTAATGCATGAATCCACCTCATCATAGTCCTAAACTAGGTTAATACAAGGACAGCCAGTATGAATCCCATAATGGGAAGTCCAATCTTTTCCAGGTAGCATAGTAGGCAACACCTTAGACTGTGCACTGCATTATACCCTTCCAAACACACATATGTAACTTTTGAACCCTCTAGAGTTTTGCCTCCTCTTTCCCAGATAGCTAAATGGATCCCAACAGGCTGAGCTTCCATATTTAAGCAATTTTATAACAATCTAAACTTGCATAAAAGAGCAAAGGTTAAGGGTAGATATAGCCCTTAGAAAGGCAGAGAACCCTGAGTAAACTCAACTTAATCCCACTTGAGAGATGCGATATCATTAAGAACAAAAATTTCAAAATTGAAATTTAACAATGTTCAGAAAAGAATAATAAGGTACACTTCCCTGTATCTACCTCCCAAGTGCTAGACTCAGGACGGATGCCCATTACCTTACCTAAGGAAAAATCATAGTTGGGAGAAGTATGAAGTCATATTTCCTGACACTATAGGTCTTGCCAACTGGGGAGATGAGTAGGACCTCTTCTTTCTCTTTAATAGGCTTTTCTACTTTATAAATCTGAATTTTCATACATTGCATTGAGCTTAAACAGGACAATATATGTTTCTTTTTTTTTTCCCTGTCTCCTTATGGCCAATGAATTCTACACTCCCTCTCAGACCTGCCCCATTCCTTGGCCTCAACCAGCCTGAGGAAGCCATTCTCCAGTCCCCAGGAGCCAGAGCAGATTTCAGGGAAGGTCACACACTTGATTCAAAACAATATGCCTGGTGAGTTTGCTATGGTTGCAATAAAAGGGTTGGAATAGGGAAGGAGTGCTGAAAGGCATCTGGCACAGCAGAGGAAATGGTATGAAAGAGCTTTGGGTTTGAAGGGAATCTGAATTGAAGTTTTAATGCTGAACTTGCAGGATCTGTGTGCTTTGGCAAGTAAGTCATTTTTCTTCAGTGGGTTTTTAATACCTACCTCAAGAGGGTATCATGAGAAAATAAAATTATGTTTATGGAACTGTTTCCAGCTTGTTATGAGATGTCAACAAATATTAGGCTTACTCCCATTATTTCTTCTCCATGCTTCCCTCAAAAACTCACCCTCAGAGAGCCTTTTCTCCTCTCTTATATGTGTTCATATTCATTTGTCATAATAAAATCTGCTTTATTTTGTAAATACAAAAGAAATACAAATTATTGTAAAATAGTTTTCAACAAGTACAGGAAAGCATAGAGTAAAATTTAAAGCACTCAGAGTTCCACTATACAACATTAACTTTTTGTTCTTTTTGTTATATTTCCCCCCAAGTATTTTCCTATGGCTAAAATATACACAACCCCCCTCTGCTCTCATCACCACACATACATGATCTTATTCTACTCAGAGTATGTTATGATATTTTGTTCACTTAATAATACATTGTGAACATCTTTCCATGTCTTAAACTTAAAGCTGCACAATGATTATTAGTGGTTGAACTATTTTCTATGGTAAGGATGCAACATTGGTAAGTTAATCGAGTATATATAATTTACATTGTTGTCCTCAATTTTTGTATTATTTTAATTTAGAGCATATGTTGGTTTTATAAACACATAAACAACGAAAACACAGAGTATTATCGTTCTTAGTTTTTTTAACCTTGAAATCTTACCATAATATACTACTCTGCAACCCTCTTTTTTCCTCACTGAACAATATTCCTTGGAGATCTCTCTCTCTGTCTCTCTCTCTCTGTCTCCCCCTCTCCCTTTATCTACGTGTGTGTGTGTGTGTGTCTCACTTTTCAATACTTGCTTCCTAATATTTTTATTACAGATGTATTATCAAACTTTTAAGTCTATCAATATGATATGTGATTAAATATCTTTCTACATTTACTGAACTGTCTGTTCAATTCTTTGCCCATTTTTCTACGAGGCTGGAAATTTTCCTGATGTTTTCAGAAGGTTTTTTTTTTTTTAAATAAGTTCTGGATATCAATATTTGTCTGTTAAATATGCTGCAAATAATTCTCTAGGTATGTCAGGATGTGCATTTTTAAAATTCTTGATGCATAATTACAAACACCCCTACAGCAAGGATGTTACCAATTACTACCCCACTCCTCAAAAGCCACATAAGTTGCTGTGTGCAACAATGATGTCTCATGTATAGAGCTCTAGAGTGTAATAAACCCTTTGGAATATATTATTTCAATTTATCCTGAAAATAGAATTGACACATTTTGTAGTTGTAGTAGGCTAAAGGAGTGAGCTCTGAGTCTCTTACTTGCTAGATATTTACCTGATGCATGACCTTGGTCAAGTTATCTGCTCTCTTTATGCCCCAGTTATCTCATTTGCAAAATGAGGATACTAATAGAACTTTCCATACAGAGTTGTCGTGAGAAATAAATAAAATAATATTGATAAAGTTCCTGGGAGAGAATCTTGCATGTATTAGAAACTCATTAAATGTTACCTATAATAATATAATTAAACATTAGCTTCTGTTATTATTACTCCTACTGCCAAGACTAAAATAGTAATAATACAATTACTATGCGCCAGACGTTAGCTCAGGTACATTATGTGCTGTTTGTTATCAGATGCTCACAACTGTGCAAGGAAGGTATTAAGCCCCTTTCAACAGATGAAGACACTAAAACTAAGAGAGGACTCACTACTTGCTCAAAGTCACACAACTAACATAACTAGACCCAGAAATTAGAGCTATCAACATTGCTTCCACTGAAACTGAAAGTAGTAACTCTAGTCAGAATGCTTCCATACTAACCTGGGGAAGAGTGAGATGGCCATGCCAAGCATAGGAAGCCTGAGTGAATGTGTGAATGAATATTGAGCGAATGACTGAGTGAGTGATCATTGAATGAAGTAGTACAGAGTTAACAGTAAATCAATGACAGAGTAAATAAATGAATACATGGAAAGAACATTAGAAAACTCAAAACTCAACAGCATGGATACAATACAGATTAGTCAGAAAGAGATTTGAAATGAATTCTTTTCATCCTCATCTCCTACAGGAAACCAAGCCTTTGGTTATGACCAGTTTTTCAGGGACAAGATCATGGAAAAGAAACAGGACCACACCTATCGTGTGTTCAAGACTGTGAACCGCTGGGCTGATGCATACCCCTTTGCCCAACACTTCTCTGAGGTGTCTGTGGCCTCAAAGGATGTGTCTGTCTGGTGCAGTAATGACTACCTGGGCATGAGTCGACATCCTCGGGTCTTGCAGGCCACACAGTGAGTAATAGAGTCTGGGCCATGAGCTATGTGGGCACATCCAGAAAGGATCTGAAGCCACAGATGAAAGGAAAAGGCAGAACTTTGGAATCCTGAGTTCCATTGTCACCCCTTTTGTCCAAGATCCTGCAGCTTATCTAATCCTCAGATATGAACTGAGACAGTTAACACATGTTTTCTAAAGCCTTGAGTGTCCAGTGCTATGAAGGAGAAGGATGGGAAACCTAACAGGTCCTACTCTGTGTGAGTTCTTAATCTAGCTGGAGAATGGGTATTGCTGAAGATGGTGTGTAACTTCCTTTATGCCTTCCAAACTGCTCAAGTTCCACCCAGTTCTTCTTCCATTCTTGAGTGCTTCTAGCCCTAAAAGGAAGGTTCATGTGTCCCTATCCTTCCCATTCTTCCCTCTACTTTGTCACATAGGACACAATTAATAGAGGATTATTAGATCACATTGAACTTTACCAAGGAAGGGAAAAATACCTTGTTCCTCAGATACTAACAAGATTTTTTTCTGCTTTTTCTCCTCTCTGTTTTTTTTTTCCTGGCCAGGGACACCCTGAACCGTCATGGAGCAGGAGCTGGTGGCACCCGTAACATCTCAGGCACCAGTAAATTCCATGTGGAGCTTGAGCAGGAGCTGGCTGAGCTGCACCAGAAGGATTCAGCCCTGCTTTTCTCCTCCTGCTTTGTGGCCAATGATTCCACTCTTTTCACCTTGGCTAAGATCCTGCCAGGTAAGCCTGAGGCCTGATCTTTGTTCAGGGCTATATGTTGCAACAAGGCATCTAGTCTCATTGCCACCTTTGCTCCTCCCCTCTAATCTGAGTTTTTCCTCCCATTGCTCTTCTTTCTTTCCCACTTTGCATATCCTCAACACTGGATAATTATATCCCTCTGCTTTCTGCCTTGGTGAGCCTAAGCTGAGTACCACTACTGGACAGTATAATATCACCCAACTTCAAAGAATGGTAACATAAATTCATCACCTCCCAAACTCGACTCAGCCCTTAACACTTATTAAAAAGTCCTTTTATGTCTTCACAGAAGCTTTTTTGAAACTTCTTCCCTCTTCTAAAATCTCTGACTACCTCCTCCTTCACTCTTCGCAAATAACCTCATATTCTATTTATTAAAGAAAGCAAAGCCACAAGAAAGGAACTTTATTCCCACCAATCCAATGAACTTATTTGATTATTCACTGGCATTTTCACATTCCCTCCTTCTACAATTGAAGGCATATCTTTCCTGCCTAAAGCCAACTCATTCATCTGCATGCTGGATCCCATCTTCCCACTGTCCCATTCTCCAGCTAATAATGTCCTCACTGCAGGACATTATTATGTTATCCTTTCATCACAGCCCCAACCCCTAATGATAGCTTCCCACTTTTCCTAGTCAATTTTGGACTCATACAATTGCTCTGATAAAAGACAGCAAAGATTCACATTCCCCAGCTTCTACTGGGTCCTCTGTGCTTTCTGGCAATCTTGTTTCCTGGGTCAGCTCTCCAAGCCACTGGGAAGTTTTACCAAACTCCCATTCTCCTCAGCCTTCCTATACCTCCTCACTATCCCCCTCAACAGAAGACTTCACCTCATTCTGAAAACAGAAGATCCCAGACATCAATGTCCTCAACTCCTAGCTGCAAAGTACCTACAAACTCACAAGAAACCCCTCCTGTTCCCCATTCCTTCTCTCCTGTTATATTGGAAGAGGTGCCCCTTTTCCACTGATGCTCAATGTCCCATTCCCCTCTCCCTCCTTAAGAACCTAATCTACCAGCTCTCTCCTTATCTTCAGCTTCTCCATATCTTTAAATATGTTTTAATCTCTTGAATCTTAAAAAACATTTTTTCCAACCCCGTCACCTTTTATCTACTGTCCTATTTTTCTCTTCCTTATAACACATTTTGTAGTTGTAGTAGGCTAAAGCTGTGAGCTCTGAGTCTCTTACTTGCTAGATATTTACCTGATGTTACCTTATAACAGACAAAGTGCTTGAGAGACATCTTCACACTTGTTACCTTATTGCTCACTTCCTGATTCTTCAGCACATGAAAAAATATCACCCCCACTTCTTAGAAAACTTTTCTAAGGTCACCCAAAATCCTCAAGTAAACCCAACATCTTTGGCAGGTTTTTATTCAGTCAATTCCCCCTCAGCCATTAAAATCTAATTTCTTTCCATCTCTGCTGATACCATCTTAGCCTAGACCAACATCATTTTCTTGATTTCACCTTTGCCTTCCTACAATCTATTGTCCCCAGCAGTCAGAAGCATGTTTTTAAAATGTAAAATCTGGCCAGTGCTGTGGCTCAATAGGCTAATCCTCCACCTGTGGCGCCGGCACATTGGGTTCTAGTCCCAGTTGGGGCGCTGGATTCTGTCCTGGTTGCTCCTCTTCCAGTTCAGCTCTCTGCTGTGGCCCAGGAGTGCAGTGGAGGATGACCCAAGTCCTTGGGCCCTGCACCTGCATGGGAGACCAGGAGAAGCACCTGGCTCCTGGCTTCGGATCAGCGTGGTGTGCCAGCCACAGCACGCCAGCTGCAGTGGCCATTAGAGGGTGAACCAACAGTAAAGGAAGACCTTTCTCTCTTTCACTGTCCACTGTGCCTGTCAAAAAAAATGTAAAATCTAACTTTGTCACTCCCCTGGTCAAAACCTTTTAATGGACCCACATTGCCCACAGTACTAAATGCAAATTGCTTATCATGGCTTCTACAGCTCTCATAAATCTGGCTTTCATATATCTCTCCAGCCTTATCTTTTGATAGCACTCTTCTCACTCACTCATGCAATAATATAATCATTCATACACTGATTCACTCACATAAATCAAGTCACTTGTTTATTCAACCATGCATTCAAAAAATGCTTACTTTCCATCTACTGTGTACTTAGCCTTATTCTAGGTACCAGACACAGAGAGTCTAAAAAAGAATGTTCCTTCCTTCAGGAAGCCATGGCTCATTTTCTCAAGTAGATGCTATTCCTTACTCTCATGAAAGCCATAGTTCCTTGATGTCAGTGAAGTGTTGGGGACCAGGAATCAACTGCATCCACCAATATACCACCTCCACCTGTCCTTCCAGCATTGCCTAGTAGAAAACCCTGCATTTCTCAGTTTCTAGAGAAAGGCCTTCTCTTCTCTGGACCTTAACTTTCTCACCTGAACAGCAAAGGAACTGGATCCCATGTTTACTAACTGCTCTTCCAGTTCTGACATGCCTCAATCCTAGGATTCCAAAACTGAATTCCTGGTGAGTATCCATATCTGTAACTATCAGCAGATGTATGCACCTGAAAGAGGTAGAATTTAATCTAGATCAAAGGCAAATCAACAAGCACATCCTAGGAAAGATCCCTTTCCAAGTCTTGATCTTATGTGTCAGGGAGAAGGAACAAGGGCCCTATCCTCAAGAAATTCTAAAAAATTCCTAGGAAATTAAATTTTCCCTCACTTCAAGATAGCCGAGACAATATCAGGATTAGAAATGACTGGAAGGTATAGAGGTCAGAATTTTATGACTGAGGAATTCTTCCAAGGGAGGAAGAGTTGTCACAAAGACTTCTACAAGAAAAAGGAGCACAGCAGAGCCTTAAAGGGAAGAGAGGGCTGTCCCTTTTCCCCTTTCAGGTCATACTTGAAGGTTGAAGTGGGATCACTGAGACAGAAGTTTAAGGATTATGCATCTGATTCTTCAGGTTGCGAGATTTATTCAGATGCAGGCAACCATGCTTCCATGATCCAAGGTATCCGCAACAGTGGAGCAGCCAAGTTTGTCTTCAGGCACAATGACCCTGACCACTTGAAGAAACTTCTAGAGAAATCCAATCCTAAGACACCTAAAATTGTGGCCTTTGAGACTGTTCACTCCATGGATGGTATGTATATGTGTGAGTGTATGCTTATTAATATATGTCTCATAAAAACCATGCTGATAATGTAACAGCTAAAATTCATGGAGTACCTCTTATGTTCCATGCATAATTATTAGAATTTTAATCAGATTAATCTTCTTAATCTTCAATGAGTTAGGTGCCATGATTTTTTTTATGAGGAAACTGAGATATGAACAATTGGAATAACTTGCCCAAGTCCATACAGCTAGTAAATGCCAAGGGATAGAAGCAGCTATTACGCTTACCTTATAGACAAAGAAATTAAAGTTCAGACAGAATCCAATTTGTCTTAGGTAGCTCAGCAAAGTGAGTGTTTGCACCATATGGCATATAACTCCAATTCCTTGCACTATACTCTGTCCATTAGAAATGATGTGCAAATCAATCACACTAGTATCTGGTTTCTACAAAGGAAAATTTCACAAAACATTATCTAGGAGTCTTTCAAGGTCCAGTATGAAGCACTGGAACCAAAACAGGTTTTTAAGTCAGACCTTAATTCAAATCCAACCTTTCACATTTACTGCCTAGATGATCTTGGGTAACTGTTTAGTTCTCTCAGCTTCAATTTTCTCAAGGTAAAATATCAACTTGTAAGAACCAGACATGATGGAAACCATTCCATTTATTATGCTTCAGTAAAAATAAGTGAGTTTTAGTTTTCTATATCTTTTCTTCTCCCAACTGAAATAACCCCAAAGCTTTCTGTTGCTGGCCCTATTGAGTAGAAGTCATGTGTTTTAGGCACTCCCTTCTCTGGATTTATTTAAGTGAAGAGCTGCTCATTTTATTTCAACTTTTCACTTTTGCAACTGAAAAAAAAAAACAGAGTCCATAGTCTTCCCTGTGTTAGCTAAAGTAAGTGCCACTGGAATCATACACAGGGCTAAGACACCAGACTATCCAATTTCAGATCTCATCATGCCAATGTACTAATTTGGTTAAGTTTCTTAATTTCTCTGTGCCTCAGTTGCCTTATTTGTAAAATGGAGGTAATAATTATAGAATAGCTGTAAAAGCTAAATGAGTTAATATATATACAGAACTTACTATCATGCCTACTTCTGTATTTCTACAACTAGTGATAAAGTAAAACTATCCTTTTCATATAGTTCTAAAACTTAGACTATTCAAATTAATTATTCTTCAATTGCAAACCACACTGGGGACATTCTACCTCCTTACATTTGCGAATAAATAATTCCTTATTTTTTAATAGAAATTCTGCCTAAACTGTCAATACTAGTGAGTTGACTTCCTCCCATGGAAATGATGCTTGAACCATCTGTCTTTTTTGACTCAGAACCGATCACCTGTATGTGGCTCCCCTCATGTTGTCCTATCAATTACTCTTTAATTCTTTAATCCTGTCCTGGTGCCCCTGATTCCACCTAAAGATATTTCATCAGCATTCCAACTCCCTGCACCTCAGAAGTTTCCAGGGAGCATAGAATGATGAGGAATGGCTCAATGCATGTGTTCTTGTATGCAGAGTGCTCACACAATCTATATATGAGATTCACAGCTATTTGATGATCTTATAAATGACTGTCAGTATGGACAAAGTCTAGAAAACATTGAAAATATGGTTGGAAAATGGAGGCATACATAGAAATTAGTTCTAATTTGCCTTCATTTGATATATTGAGACTGAGTCTGTAAGAGGGAGCCTTCAGGGAACTACATTGATAGAGACAAGAGAAAACACACTCCCCCAGAGACACAGAAAATATAGAGGCACAAGGAAATTCAGAAGGAGACACAAGGGTACAGAGAAAGGCATTCAAGAGCAGAGAGATAGTCATAGAGGCCAACAATAATGAGAGAGAAGGGGGAAGGGAAGGGAAAGGGAAGGAACAGGAGGAGAGAGGAGAGAAGTGGGGGAGGAAACTGAGAAAGAAAGAAAAAGAAGAGAGAAAGGGAGGGGAGAAGGGGAAAGGAGAGGAAAAAAGGTAGCGACAGAAAAAATAGAGACATAGAAAAATATGGAAATGGCACAAAAAAAGAGAGTGCTAGAAAACCAGAAAGACAGAAGGGGAGGCAGTGAAAATAAAGATATTGCTAGCACCTGACCAAGGGAGTGAGGTCTACAATAGGACTGAAATAGCTAGCACAAAAGGTGACTTTTTTCAATTTACTTAAAAAAAGACATTATACAGGGTAGTGCCAACTCTATATGGAAATGCACAGACTTGCAAGGAAAAAAAATATAAATGAGGCAGAGACCAGAAAAATAGCAGAAGAGGACAAACATAGTCAGAATGAAGTAAAAATAGAAAGAGAACCAAGACTTGATCTCAGGCTGGGGAAAACACACACATGCAGTTTGGGCTGAAGTGGGTACAGGCAGTTGATGTACACAAAAAGGTTTCTAATAGTACCAAGTGAGGGGGCACACCCTCTTCCTCTCTACAACACCTTTTTCCAATCCAAATCAGGTATGGATGGGAAATTCCACACAGGAGATGGATCTGGGGAAGGGTTATAACCTCCGACTTATCCCCTGGCTTTGTTCAGGTGCCATCTGTCCTCTGGAGGAGTTGTGTGACGTGGCCCATCAGCACGGTGCCCTGACCTTTGTGGATGAAGTCCATGCTGTAGGATTGTATGGGTCCCGGGGCGCTGGGATTGGGGAGCGTGATGGAATTATGCACAAGATCGACATAATCTCTGGAACTCTTGGTGAGTGAATGCCTTGGACAACTCTTAGATACAATCCAGAGAGGAGGCCCCTGCAAGAACCTTTTGTTTCTCTTCCCCAAAGCTGCGGGAGCTGTTTGGGTAGAATTCACAGCCCCAAGTGACTCTCCTAGATTGCTTCCCTCTACTTCCTTCCCACTGCAGAGTTGCTGAGAAAGTCTGAGAGGGTGTTTTGAAAAGATCCCTGAGGCTGGGCCAAATAGCCAGGTTAGACCTGAGTAAGTGGAGACATAGTTCCAAACTCTTCCCCCATCCTAACTCCAAGCTTCATCTTAGCGCCACTCCTGGCCTTAACCAGCTAAAAGTCCCCGCCTAGCTCCTGCCTATCAAGTCACTGCACATGGCAGGACTCAAAAGTTCTATCACAAAGCAGCAGAATTATCAGCCCTGCCTGCTTCGTCATGGACAAGAGAGATGAAAAGAGGGCTGGGAAGGGAGACCAGAGTTCCAGCTTCTGGTGCAATTCCTTGTGTTACCTGGGGGCATGAACCTGTTCTTCTAGGGACTAATTATGGGTTCTGGACATGTTGTTCTTTTCTGTCTCTAGGCAAGGCCTTTGGTTGTGTGGGTGGTTACATCGCCAGCACCCGTGACTTGGTGGACACAGTGCGTTCCTATGCTGCAGGCTTCATCTTCACCACCTCACTGCCCCCCATGGTGCTCTCTGGGGCACTGGAATCTGTGCGGCTGCTCAAGGGAGAGGAGGGCCAAGCCCTAAGACGAGCCCACCAGCGTAACGTCAAGCACATGCGCCAGCTACTAATGGATAGGGGTCTTCCTGTCATCCCCTGCCCCAGCCACATCATTCCCATCCGGGTGAGAGCCCCACCTTGTCCACTGCACTCCCCACCTATCTCTTCTGGAAGCCTTCCCATGTCCAGCAAACTGATTGCTCCTGTCAACTCTTGGTTTTCCTATTAACCACCTATTCTGGATTAACCAATCTTTTTTCCTTTTGTACAACCTATTACTTTGTGTTTATTAGACTGTGCCCAGACCCTCACTACATTGAGTAGTTATAGCCTATATTTCAGGTTTTTTTTTTTCACACTGTGGCTCACGATTATTAGTGGGCCATAAAATCAGTTTAGCAAGTTATGACTAGCATTAAAAAATATAGGGCTCAGCATGTAGCCTAGCAGTTAAGATGCCCATATCCTATATCAGAATGCCTGGGTTCAATCACTGACTCAGGCTTCTTATTCCAGCTTCATGCTAATGCAGATCTTGGGAGGCAGTGGGGATGTTGAAGTAATCGGTTTTCTGAAATCTAACACAGGAGACCTGGATTGCATTCCTAGCTCCTGACTTTGGCCCTACCCAGCCTCAGCCATTATGGACATTTGAGGAATGACTAGTGGATGGGAGATCTCTCTATAATGAATTTTTTAAAAATAGAATAGAAAAAGTTGGAGACTATCACACATTGTAAGGGTATCATTTTGTGAGAAATTTTCAGTTTTACATATATGTATATGTTGGTATACATGTATATGTACAGTGATGGTATAAATGCATTTCTTACTGAGAATTGAGGTCAGAAAGATAAAATTAAAAGCCACAAGCCTAGATGCTATTTTGGATCACCATGTTTAACTATGTTTGGGTATTTACTGGCTTTAAAAATGAACTGCTCATTCTTTCATAAATAACATCTATTTGTGCTAATTAGTAAATAGGGTGTGGGAAAGACACTTTTGGTGACAATTTTATAGATGAGAAAGAAATATTGTCATCCCTCAGTATCCAAGGGATACCATGCTACAAGGATGATCAAGTCCCATACAAAAAATGCCAAAGTATTTGTATATAACCTACACAATTCTCCCATGTACTTTGGATCATCTCTAGATTATTTATAATACCTAATACAATGTCAATGTTAGGTAATTAGTTGCCTAATTACATTGTTTAGGGAATATTCAGTACAGAGGCATTTTTAAAAACATTTTTATCTGCAGTTGGTTGAATCCAGGGATGTAGAACCAGAGGACATGGACAGCTAACTATTTTGACTGATCCTCAGGCCAGCCCAATACCACCCCCTTTTTAAAAAAAAAAAAAAAGATTTATTTATTTTACTTGAAAGTCAGAGTTACACAGAGAGAGAAGGCGAGGCAGAGAAAGAGAGAGAGAGGTCTTCCATCTGCTGGTTCATTTCCCAGTTGGCCGCAATGGCCAGAGCTGTGCCAATCTGAAGCCAGGAGCCAGGAGCTTCTTCTGAGTCTCCCACATGCGTGCAGGCGCCCAAGGACTTGGGCCATCTTCTACTGCTTTCCCAGGCCACAGCAGAGAGCTGAATCGGAATTTAGAGCAGCTGAGATTTGAACCGGCGCCCATATGGGATGCCGGCAATGCAGGCAGCAGCTTTACCCACTACGCCACCATACCGGCCCCCCAATATCCCCTTGAAAGACTGAATTTTAGGGCTGGCACTGTGGAGTAGTAGGCTAAGCCGCTACCTTCAGTGCCAACATCCCATATGGGCACCTGTCTGAGTCCTGGCTGTTCCACTTCCAAACCAGCTCCCTGTTAATGCACCTGGGAAAGAAGGGGAAGATGGCCCATATGCTTGGGCCCCAGACTGAATTTTAAAATTCCCGTTATCTGAATCAAGCCAATGATGCACACAGAAGTAACCTGGGGAATTTGTCTTTTCACTTAGAACTACCCTCACATTCACCTACTAGCTAAGTAAAACTGGTGTGCTTATTCTGAAATCAGCATCAAGATAAGGCTGCTGGCGCCACCTCCACCTCACTCCCTTCAAACCTAATTGTTAGCTCTGAGTTCCTCTTTGATAGAAATTCTGGAAATGCCACTAAGGGCCTTTTGAATGATATGTCCCCCAAATTCAGTGTTATTCCTCAATCTGGTTCCCTTTACCCACTTTTTTTTTTTTTTTTTTTTTTTTTTTTTTGGACAGGCAGAGTTAGACAGTGAGAGAGAGAGACAGAGAGAAAGGTCTTCCTTCCGTTGGTTCACCCCCCAAATAGCTGCTACAGCCAGCGCACTGCGCCAATCTGAAGCCAGGAGCCAGGTGCTTCCTCCTGGTCTCCCATGCAGGTGCAGGGCCCAAGCACTTGGGCCATTCTCCACTGCCTTCCCGGGCCATAGCAGAGAGCTGGAGTGGAAGAGGAGCAACCAGGACAGAATCCAGCGCCCTAACCGGGACTAGAACCCGGGGTACTGGCGCCGCAGACAGAGGATTAGCCTAGTGCACCATGGTGCCGGCCCCCTTTACCCACTTAATGGAACTAGGGATCGCAGGATGAGGGGTGACAGGTTACTAACAGCCTTTCTCTTGAGCCTAGGTGGGTGATGCAGCACTCAACAGCAAGATCTGTGACCTCCTACTCTCCAAGCATGGTATCTATGTGCAGGCCATCAACTACCCAACTGTCCCCCGGGGTGAGGAACTGCTGCGCCTGGCACCCTCCCCACACCACAGCCCTCAGATGATGGAAGACTTTGTTGGTAAGTCCACAATATGGGTGCCTACAGTACTTCCCCAGCCCTCATCCAGGAGCTGAGGAAATTGAGAGGAAAGATGACACTCAATTAAAAAAATATATTTCTGGAACACCTACTGCATGCCAATCTGTATATTAGGGTCACAAATGAATGAGAAACAGATTCCTAAATTTTTAGGAGCTCCATTTAGTTGGGGAGACCATGGCAGGCACAAACAATAACAGGAAGCAGTTATCAAAACTAAACAAAGCGCACTGGGGAGTTGTGGGAGCAGAGGGGGGGGGGCCTGGCCCAGCCTGCAGGATTCAAGATAGGCTTCCTACTTGACATGTTACCTGAGCTGAGTCTTGCAAGGTAAGCAGTATTGAGCCACAAAAAGAGGGTGTAGAAGAGGTATTCTTAGCAGAGTACACAGCATTATGAAAAGCAAGGAGTAGAGTTAAGAAGCAGCTTGAGGTATATTAAGGACAATAATCAGGTATAACTGGAATGCAGGATAGTCAGTATATAGTGGGGAGAGAAGTGTTAATCCATGAAGTCTGCAAAGACAGTGAAAGACAGGGACTGGATTGAGAGGCTTGCAGAGTTCAAGTTTTACCCTGAAAGCTATTAATTTAGCCTTTCACCTAAAGTTTACTGAATTCTTGGGTGCAGTTTTCAGCCCACGGCCAGGCATAGGGAAGCTTCTCATTCCAGGCCCACAGATGAAAGACATGTAGGCAGGCAATAGTTTAGCAGAGGGTACTGGTTCAGTGTGATACATTGTAGTGTTATAGTTACAGAGTGCTCATTTACAGCTAGAAAGGCTAAGAAGGCTGAAATTGGAGAGGCACTGTGGGTGAGGAAGCCCTTGTACATGGATATGGTCAGTAACCTCCTTCCAGAATAAGGGAATGCCATGAGGAATGACCTATGGACAGGCGAGAAGGCCGTGTTGACAACACGTGTTGACTCACTCCTCTTCAACTTCTCAACTTAACTTAGGAAGCCTTTCATTCATTATTTCAATAAATATTTATCAAATACACGCTATGTGCTAGACACTATTCTAGGTGCTGGGAACCCAAGAGTAAACAAACAAGACACAAAATTGTTACCCACTGGAGCTTAGATTCTAATGGAAATAGTCAAAAAGTATTTTTAAAAATAAGCAAAGTAAATAATACATGAGTTTTTCATTGCTATAATGAAATACCTGAAACAAATTAATTTTATAAATGAAAGAGATTTATTTGGCTCACAGTTCTAGATGCTGAAAATCCAAATGGCAAGGAGCAGGCTCTGGTCAGGGCTCCCTTTGACTGCATGACCTCATTGCAAATTGTAATGGTGGATTACAATGGGAGGAAATTATCACATCTCAAAACAGAAAATCAGAGAGGGCGAGAGAGAAAGAGAGAGAGAAAGAGAGAGAGAGAGAGACTGATTCAAGGGTCAAGTTCAAGCTTAATAACTCATTCTTGTGAGCACTCACTTCAGGAGACCAGTATTTCTTTCCAAGGGGAGCATGCTTAATGACCTAAGCTCTCCCACTAGGCTCCACTCATAAAGGTTCCATCAGCTCCCACGTTGCCACATTGAGGCCCAAGCTCCCAACACATGAACATTAGCAGACACATCAAAAACTCAACCAAATAATAGCAAGTCACATATTTCTTCTAAGTACAATGGAAAAAAATATAAAGCAGAATAAGGGGGACAGTAAGCACTGGAGGCAGGGGTTAGGTTGGAAGAAGGTTACAGTATTACAGTGGCAAGGGTAGAGATCCACTGAGGTCACACTTAAGCGAAGATCTGAAAGAGGTAAAGAAGTTAGCTGGGCAGATATCTAAGTGAAGGGCAACCAGGTAGTGGGAACAACCTAAGGCAGGGAAGACTCTGAATTCCTTTTATATTTGAGGAACAGCAAGATGAGTATACATGGAGTGGTGTAAACAACTGAAAGAAAAATTGAGCAGAGAGAGGCAATGTGGGGCCAGATTATAGAGTAACTAAGTTATTGGAGATTGTGGCTTTTAGTGAAAGCCTTTGGAAGGATCTGAACAGAAGACTGACATATCTGACTTAGTTTTTTTTTTTCCATAATTCACAATTAGCCCAATGAAAGTTTTAGTGGAATCAGAGTGATGAGAACAAAACCAAACTCAAGGGAGTAGCTATCTGACTTAGTTTTAACAGAATTGCTCAGACTTCTATGTTGAGAACACAATGAAGAGAACAAAGGGAGCAAGAAGAGAAGCAGGCAAACACAACAGGGGGCTGCTGCAATATTTCAGCTCAGATTTGATCACAGCCATTGAGATGCTAAGTGGCCCAATTTTGAAGGTAGAGCGAATGGTATTTGCTGATATATGGGGTAAGGAAGAGAGCAATAAAGATGGCTCTAGCAGTTTTGGACTGAACTGGAATTGCCATCAACTGATATGGGGAGAGCTGAAAGTAAAGCAGGTTTAGAGGGTAGAGACATGAGTAGCTCAGTTGTGCTTGTGTTAAGCTAGAGATACAGGAGGGCCACTTATAAACAAGTCAGGAAATCAAGCAAAAGGTCTGGGACAGAGATGAGAATTTCAGAATCATCAGTATATGAGATCACCAAGAGCATAAGCATAGAAAAGGCACTTCCTGCAGTGGGTCCTCTGAGTTCCCATCCTCAGGTTCCCTTGTCATAGCACTGATGACACAGTATGATGACTATCTGTGTCATCTTCCTCACCAGGCTAGGAGTTTCCAAGGTGACAGGTTCACTTCATCCACAGTATGTCCTGTACTGAGATAGTGTGAGGTGCCAGACAGGCCAGTATAGCTTCAAATTGTGTCAAGGAATCCTTCCCAGTCTTTTACACAGACCAGTACCCACAAATGGTAGCACTCAGAGCACACGCTGGAGCAAAGATACTACTTTCAGTTTTGAGGTAACTCAAAAGGTTGAAGGATCAGTATCTTGGTACATCTGGGGATTTAGAAGACCTAATCAGTTTTTTCTCTCCCCTTTCTTCCCACAACCTACAGAGAAGCTACTGGTAGCTTGGAACGAGGTGGGGCTGCCCCTTCAGGATGTGTCTGTGGCTGCCTGCAATTTCTGTCACCGTCCTGTGCACTTCGAGCTCATGAGTGAGTGGGAACGCTCCTACTTTGGGAACATGGGGCCACAATACGTCACCACTTACGCCTGAGAAGCCAGCTGCCTCATATTCCTCCTTCACTTGTAATTCACTTAAAGCTGGGCCTCCTCCTGTCCTCTGCTTTGCTGTGTGCCTCTAGCTGACTTGAGTCTGAAAATAAAGAGCAAACTGCAGCATCTGTAGCCTTTTCCTGGACAGCGGACAGGCAACTACACATCTGACTCCCTCAAACAGTAGACTATAGCTCACTTTTTGGCCTGACCACCCCCGTTTTACTGACAGAGAAGGGGAAGGGAATGACCACTGATTATACAGTGAATTGCCCAAACAGCCAAGACACTTGGCAGATTTACCTGAAATGGCTTTTTACCATTAGTCCCAACAAAAATCCAGAGATTGACCCTACCTGGACACTTAGGTCCAAGGTAGGCCCTGAAGCCTGGAGACAGTCAGCCCTAAGCAAACTGCCTGGAGGGAAGAAGTGGCTCCCCAAAACTGAGGAGGTAATTTCCAGAAGGGGAACAAATATCTTCCTCATCTGTTAGCCTTCTTCCCACCCACAAGATCTTATAGAATAGCTATCACCAGCCCAGTTTCCAAGATAAGACAAGAAGTGTGGCTCTAGCAAGCAACATGTTCAAAGCAATGTTCCCAAACTTTCCAGGTCACAGCACATGGGCAAAATTGACAATAACACACTTGGAAGAATTAATATTACTTGGCAAAGAGGCAATCTTCTGAGACGAGTGTGACTCCAGGCCCTGACTATCAACTCAGAGGGCTGAGAGACCCATTTCTTTCTACCTTATAACCTATTTGTGTCAGCTGAGGGACACCCTCCTGGGAACCTCTGGCTTGAGGCTACACAGCCCACTACACTTCTGCCACATTATACCCACATCCCTTACTGATCCAACCTCAGTAGTACACGAAGCCCATACAACCCAGCAGGGCCCTTTATGATGAACATCGCTTGTCCCTCCTCCCCTCTCTCCGGGAGTTATACCATGAGACTGCAAGCAGTTGGAAAACCAAGTGTTGAGATAGCTTCTCTGACTCAATGTTATGGAGCACATTCAAAATGTCCACTCAATGCAGTGCACTGAAACAAAGACACAGACTTTATTTATTTAAATATATACAAAAACATTCCCCAGCAAGGACAGAAGGAGTTTCGAATCACAACTTTCTGGGGAAGCTGGCTCCTGTGTCCTTCTAATAGGTTGGTGGGAAGTGGGGAGGGGGATTGGGTAACAGCATTAGGGCACAAGAAGCTCGCCAACAAGACAGAGCTAGGCAGGAGGAAGACGAAGAGAAACACTGGAGGAAGACGAGAGGAAGGAAGAAGAGAAAGATAAGGAGGCAGAGGAGAGGAAAGGAAGAAAGGGGCCTTGAAGGAAGAGATATACCAGACGCTCAGCAGAGCAGCTAACTTCAGATCCTATGAGGGGTGATGACATCACACATTCTTATGCTTCAGTTGGCTCAGCTGGGCCTGCTCCAGAGGAAAAAGTTACAGCGGGAAGAGGGGTCAGTGGGAGGACCCCGGGGCCTGGCACACATGTAGAAGCGGCGGCCCAGGTTAGGTCCTGGCTTCTTCACAGTACGCATGACACATGGCTCCCTGTGGCCCCCACAGAGGGGCATGGGTGAGGGTCCCCCCAGCACAGACTTCCAGAACAAAGTCTGTACCTCCTTGTCATCTTTGACCTCTGAAGTCTTGGCCTGTCCCTCTACCACTTTGGTGATCACCTCCTGTTCTGGAGTCTTTGGCATCACAAGGATGTCCTTCAGCGGCAGGCGAGGCACCTCCAAGGCACGAGAGGTTTGGGGATGGCTCGAGGAAGGCTGGAAGTAGCTCATCAGGTTCTTCTGGCCTCTGCTGGAACCAACCTGACTTGGCCGAGGCCTGGCTGAGCGGACACGGGCCTTGTTTTGGTGTGTCTGTACCCGAGTTTGACTGCTGAGCTGCAATGCTGACTCGTCCAACACAGGACCTTGTTCACGGGGAACTAGGAAGCGAACGATCTTGAGCTGAGTGCCTGCAAATTCAGGAAGGAAGCGGGTGCACAGAGGCGGGCACTGTTTTGCAGGTACAGAGGACACATTCAACACTGCACCCACAGGGCAGTGGTCAGAGCCCATCACCTCAGGCAAGAGGAAGGAGCTCTGGAAAGTATCTATAACCAAGGTCTTATCCCCCAACACGTAGTCAAGCCGTGAACCATAGTTGAGGTGACGGGCACCAGTGACCAACGACCAGCAGGTGAAAGCCCTTTCCTGCTTTGGCTGGAAGCAGCGGAAGCTATCAATAAAGGGCCCTGTGTGGGACCCAGCCTGACACCCCGGGTTACTGAGCAAGCCGTCCATCCATTTGCGACCTGGGTCCTCTTCAAAGCATTCCTGGGGGAAGAGACAGGCAGTAGATGCCTAGAACTGGAAGAAACCTAGACCGATTGTTTCATTTTACAAGCAAGAACAGCCTCTGGGATGGGTCTGTTAAAGGAGGGTACAATATACATGCTATGGTCTGAATATGGTTTGTCCCCTCTGAAAGTCATTTTTAATCCTTGCTGGTAAATATTAAGAAGGTGGAAACTGGCCAGCGCCGTGGCTAAATAGGCTAATCCTCCACCTGCGGCACCGGCACACTAGGTTCTAGTCCCGGTCGGGGCGCCAGATTCTGTCCCGGATGCTCCTCTTCCAGGCCAGCTCTCTGTTGTGGCCTGGGAGTGCAGTGGAGGATGACCCAAGTGCCTGGGCCCTGCACCCGCATGGGAGGCCAGGAAAAGCACCTAGCTCCTGGCTTCAGATCAGTGCAGTACGCCAGTTGCAGCGTGCCAGCCGCAGCGCCCATTGAGGGGTGAACCAATGGAAAAAAGGAAGACCTTTCTCTCTGTCTCTATCTCACTGTCCACTCTGCCTGTCAAAAAAAAAAGGTGGAAACTGAATCCAACTATGGTGTTTACAGGAGGGACTTTTGAGGAGTAATCAGGATTAAATGAGGGCATCAAGGTAAAAACCCCATGATTGAATCCTGGTGGTTTTAAAAGACACCAGATGATACATACACATACACACACACACACACACACACACAAGTTCACTCCCCTTCTCTTACCATGGGCTGTCCTGTGTCACTTAGGGACTCTGCCAACAAAAAGGCCATCACCAGATGCAGGCTTTCAACCTTGGATTTCCAGAACCAGGGGCCAAAATAAATCTTTTTTCTTTACAACTGACCCAGTCTGTGATATTGTGTTACTACCAATAGAAAATGGGGCTAAGTCAGTACTCAAAAAACTTAAGGGGAAATCAGAATTGGGACCATAATATCAGCAGGAGGTGACTGACACAGTCCACGTAAGCAAGAGGTGACTGTAGCCTGGACCAGACTGGAGCCAGAGGAGCCAGAAAAATGAAATTAGGAGATGAGTTAGAACTAGAACCAATAGTACTCACTAACTGAATGTGGAAGCACATTAAAGAAGGATACTATAAGCACCATTCCCAAGCATCTTGTTAGAGTAACAAAGGGGATGATGGTGCCAGCCAGAGAGATGATAAGACTAGAAAAGCAGGTGTGCTGGGAAGTGAACATGTTCTGCTAGTCTGGAAATAATATGTTTATTCTCTAAGCTGCTATTATTACTTCTCTTTTCCTAGAAGGAAGAACAGAAGGAGGTGGAGTGTAGAGATCTAAGACAGCTTTGAACTAAGTAGAAAAAGCATAAAGGTGCACAATGCTATCACAGAAACTCAAAAGAAACACAATGAGTGGGTGCCTGATGAGGAATGAGGCAGAGAGAGACCTATGGTTCACACTTTATAGTGTTTATCCCCACCGTGACTGGATCACCATCACCATTTTTAAAAAGATGCATTTATTTATTTGAAGGCAGAGTTACAGAGAAGAGAGGGAGACACACAGAGAGATCCTCCATCTGCTGGTACACTCCCCAAATGTCCACATTGGCTGGGGCTGGGTCAGGCTGAAGCCAGGAACTTCCTCTGGGTCTCCCATGTGGGAGTAGGGGCCCAAGGACTTGGATCATTTTCCATTGCTTTTTCAGGCATATTAGCAGAAAGCTGGTTCTGAAGTAGAGAGCAACCGGGAGTAAACCAGCACCCATATGGGATGCCGGTGTCACAGGCAGCAGCTTAACCTGCTGTACCACATGGCCAGCCCCACTATTTTTTCATTCTCTCATTTCTACTCATTGTCCCAGCTGGCAGCCATATCTGTTTTATGTTATCCTTCAACAAACTAATCAAGGGATCTTTCCACAGCCCCTTGACTGAGCCAAGCTCAGGGCTGAGTTGAATTGTGCCAGAAGTTACTGATATCCCCATCACAAGGCAAGCCAAGATGAGAAGTGACATATAGATTCTGAGGCAGCAGTTCTCATGGTTGGCTGCACAATAAAGTTACACTGGGGGTTTTCAAAATATACTATTACTCCGGTCCCGTCCCCCAAGAGAATCTGATGTCATTGCTTTGGAGTGTTACCTCCACTCCCATATTCACTGCTGCACTACAAGTAGCCAAGATAGGGAAATCAATCTACGTGTGCCCGACAGATGAACGAATTAAAGAAAATGGGGTGTATCTCTACAAAATGGAGTATTAGTCAGCCACAAAAAAGAATGAAACCCTGTTATTTGCAGCAACATGGATTGAACAAGAGGACATTATATTAAGTGAAATAAACCAAGCATAGAAAAACAAATTCCACATGTTATCACTCATATGTGGAAGCTAAAAAGTTGGTATCATAAAAGCAGAGAATAGAATCACCATTATCAGAGGTGGGTTGGGGAACACAGAAGGGCTGGTTTAACAGGAACAAAAATATAGTCAGATAGGAGGATTAGGTTCTAACATTCTATAGCACTGTAGGGTGACCACAGTTAACAATAATTTGTTGTGTATTCCAAAATAGCTAGAAGAGAAAATTTTAAATGCTCTCAACACAAAGACATGATGTTTAAGATGGATTTGAAAATTACCCTAATATGGGTCATAAATCATATATATAAAATCATATATATTATTAATCATAAATTATAAACATGTATCAAAATATTACAACAAGGGGCAGGTATTTGGTACATCAGTGAAGACACTGGTATCTTATATTAGAGTGTCTGAGTTTTAGTCCCCATTACACTCCAGCTTCCAGCTTCCTGCTAAGGCACACCCTAGGAGGCAGCAGGTGATGGCTCAAGTGGTTGGGTTCCTACCACTCACATAAGAGACCCAATTGAGTTCCTGGCTCCTGGCTTCTTCCTGGCTCAGCATTGGCTGTTTCAGGCATTTGGGGTGAACTTCCAGCAGAAAGATCTCTTTTTCTCTCAAATAAATGAAAAGCCATAATGGTTTTTGTAATTACAACTTACCACCATAAATATGTATAATTATGTGTCAGTTTAAACAAAAGAATAGCATTTAACACTAAGTTACTCCTGGGCCAAAAATCCAGCATTAGTTGGTTGAGTGAATAGAACCATAGTAAGGAGTGGGGCCAGAGCTCTAAAAGGAGACTTACTATGTTGATGGCATCACAGTGGTCAATGGGGCGGTGGGCTGTATTCAGGTCACCCAGAATGATAACATGGCTGAAAAAAAGTGGGATTGTCAAATGGACATTGAAGAAAGGGAAGCAGCAGTACTGGCCAACATAACTTTTTCCCAGGCCCATGAGCTCAGAGAGGCCACCTCCCACATTGTTGCTTTCTAACCAAAAGCCTATCCCACCAAACTTATCATAGCTGGCTGCCTTTCACACATGACCAACCTAACCTTGATGTCCAAAGGTGACACTGGTCTCTTTTTGGCATGACTGCCTCACTTGTCCTTCAAAGCTAAGCTTAGATACTACTTCCTCCAGGAAGCACCCCTTGATAACTCCAACTCACCATCATTTCCTATCCTTCCCTAGAATAAGACTTTCATTTGTTCCTAGGCACTGTACCATCCTCACCTCCTTTCACCCTTAAAACTATTCTGTGAGGTAGTGATGCATGCACTCATTTGACAGAAGAGAAACTAGAACAGGTGTTCGAGAGTATAAGACCCATGTTTGTGTCACTTTATGTTGTTCTCACAGCTCTTGAGAGTAGGTCCTATTCAAGTGGGTCTGCAACTAGTGTGAAGAAACTCAAAAACAAGATTCTATATGACTTCCAATGGAGTTTGACATAGGGCTGGGCAGACAAGAGAAGTTCGAGGAAACCTGGTGGTACCTGCCAGCAGCCAGGAGGGCTTCTGCTCGGATCTGTAGCAGGCGATAGAAGCGCATCTTAAAGGTCAGCCGTTCAGGCTTCCCAGGATCCGCGTGGGGGCAGTACACGTTGATAATGGTCAAGGTCTTCTCATTTCCTTCCCGAGTACTGCAGACACGAGAAAGCCCCCAAAAGGGATCAGTTTCAAGACTCTTCTCCCCTCCCCATACCATGTGGTTTCCACTTAGTGGTGAGATGGAAGAGACAGAAGGAGATCTAGAGAGACAAATAAGCAGGCATGCATTGGACTTGGGGACTGACTACAGGTAAGGCAGAGATGGGGCATCTAGGATAACCAGATAAACAGGTGATGATGCTGCCATTCACAGATAGAATAGCCAGAAAAAGAGCACCTTAGGGCAAGAGTTCAGCACTGGCTAAGTTTAGAGGTGCATAAGACAGCTGTAGAGATGAGAACTAAAGGCATAGAGGAGAACATGATTTGCCAGCATAAAACAGTGAGCAACCCAATCAGAATGAGAGTCCAGGAAAAGCAAGTATGGGAATTTTTGCACAATGAATGCTCATTTGTAAGGGAAGCCTTAGAATCTCCACGTTCACAGGACAGAACCAGCAGTGTTCAGTGACAGGGGGATATGGGCCATTACCAGATCTTGTGTTGTGTGAGGAGAGCCCGGCCTTCACTATCCAGAGCCCGGAGCTCCTCTTGGGTGAACTCATCCATGTTTCCATAGCAACCCACGTCCCCATTCTGAGTGGCAAATAGGCCACTCAGGCCTTCTTCAGCAGCCACGGGGGTAGCGCTGTCCTTACAGAAGGTGGCTACACCTGGAGACAGGTAAAGTTACTCTGAGCAGGTCTGGCAGCCAACAAGCCTATTACACTTCAATTATTCCCACTTAAGTCACCTGAGTCATCTTCATAAATTGTAGCTGTATATTTTTATGTATTGACAACTTTGCCAACTCAAAGGCCATGATGGCTCTCTAGAATCTGGAGCAAATCTACTCAGACCTCCCTACTCAAACCCTGAAGGCTCAATTCCCTCATCTGAAAGACCACAGAGGGGCCAGTGTGTGGTGCAGTGGGCAGACACCTGTAATGCTGGCATCACACTTGGGCCCCGGTTCATGTCCCAGCTGCTCCACTTCCAATGCAGCTCCCTGCTAATGTGCCTGGGAAAAACAGTGGAGGATGGCCCAAGTGCTTGGGCCCCTGCTATCCATGTGGGAGACCAGGAAGAAGCTCCTGGCTCCTGGCTTTGGACTGGCCCAGCCCTGGCCATTACAGCCATCTGGAGAGTGACCCAGTGGATGGAGACCTCTCACTGCCTCTCCTTCTCTTTCTAACTCTGACTTCCAAATAAATAAATAAATCTTTAAAAAAGGGGCCGGCGCCATGACACAGTAGGTTAATCCTCCGCCTGTGGCACCAGCATCCCATATGGGCGCCGGCTGCTCCACTTTCAATCCAGCTCTCTGCTATGGCTTGGAAAAGCAGTGGCGGATGGTCCAAGTCTTTGGGCCCCTGCACCCATGTGGGAGACCTGGAAAAAGCTCCTGGCTCCTGGCTTCAGATCAGCACAGCTCTCGCCACTGCAGCCATTTGGGGAGTGAAGCAACGGAAGGAAGACCTTCTCTCTGTCTCTCCCTCTCACTGTCTGTAACTCTACCTCTCAAATAAAACAAAATAAAAATATTTTTAAAAAAGTTAAAAAATTAAAAGACCACAGAATAATAACAACATGTAATATTCTAGTGGTTTTAGATTGATACATAAGAGCTTAAAATTACCAGCTATTATTGTCACATGCATTAATTCACTTATTCCATGTAACATGCTAGGAGTCTGGTTCCAGAGCTCACATAATTAACCTCCACATTCAGCGGTCCAATAGAATAATTTCATATATAAGAATTATACTTCATATAGTTTTAGCCCATAACTCTATGGACTAAAAGCTTAAATTTCTTATTACCTTTTCATCAAATATTGGAAATTATTTCTCTCTATATGCCTCCATCACAAATTTGAAGTTCCCAGAAAGCCCCATTTACCAGAATAGCCACTACGGTTTCTGCAGAAGCTGAAATAGGAGTTGTAGCCCTCGACGATAGCCAGGGGCTCTGTCAGCACATCTCCTGGAAAAAAAAAAGATTAAGTCACAAGTAAAACTACTACCAAGAATGCACAAATGCTAGGAATCACAGTTGTAAATTAATTCCTTGCACAGACCCAGAGTTTAGAGTGAGAATAAAGTCTCTCTGATTAGAGGAGGAGCTAGGAAAGTAGGAAAAAATCAGAAGGAATTGATATCTGAAATCGAAGGCAAAGGAGGGACAGACACTATGGAGTGGGAAGTAGAAAACCAAGTGGAAAGCAGATCAAATCAGAGCTAAGCTTGGAAGTCTAGGTGATGGGAGAGGCTGGGGGTGGGAAATGGGAATATGGAAGAGGGAACTGGGAAGCTGAGCTGGGGGTGGGAAGTGAGAGGGAATTAGGGGATCTAAATTGAGAATGGAGGAATAGGGAAGGAATTGGGCGGTTTGAGAGCATGGCTGGAAATGGAGGGGGGGATCCGAGTGGATATGGGGATTTCAAGAGGGAGATAAATGAAGTTCTGCTGAGGGAAGGAGACAGAGTGGGAATTAGAATTAGTGGGTTGGGAAATCGGAGTTTGGGGGTGGGGCGGAAAGGGATCGGGATCCTGAGCTGGGTCTAAGAGTAGCCTCTAAGGATAAGGAAATGGGAAAATTAAACGAGATATAGCTGAGAGGGAAAGTTAGCGGGATAGTAAAGTATGGTAGGGATTCTAGATTCTGAGTGCTTACTCGTTACTTTTGTCTCCTGGAGACAGACGATATCGGCAGCCAGCTCGCCCAAAATGCGTCCCATGGCCAGAGCGGCACAGTTGCCGGGTTCCTGGCATACCACCCCTTGTACGGGGCTCCGGATCCCATTGATATTCCAGCTCACCACGCGCAACATATTAGAAAACCGGAAGGCCGGCCACTCGGCGCCTAGGCGCGGGCAACTTGGCGCTCGGAAACTAGACGTGCCCCGCCTCCTGTGCGTGTCTGCGTAGGTGTTCTCGTACGTGACGCAGCAGCGGGGAAGCGCACGCAGGGTGGAGCTTCGAGCCCCTCCGTTCTTATTGGCGGGAGGAGGGACTGGGTGGAAACTGCAGGGGGCGCATCAGATACCTAGGAGAAATGAATTGTCAAAGGAAAATGTCTGGTTGGTTTCCTGCTCCTCCGGCCGCACAACTAGCCCAGACGCCTGAGTCTGAATGGGTTTCTCTTCTGGTCAAAAGTCCCCCTGCTCTTTCCGGTTACTTACAAACAGGATTTCGCCAGTTTTTAAGCGGCTGAACGGTGTAGCAGCTGAAGCCCCGCCCCCAGTGTAACTGGTCGGCCGGCAGGCTGCGACGCTTGTGCCCCAGGGTTAGTGTATGCTAAGTGATCGATTGGGGTGAGACGAACCGAACTTCTTGGTTGGAGATGAGAACTGAGCTACTGGGCTGAAACTTAGGAGAAGAGCCTCAAGCTTTATTGGGGGAAGGGGCAGGAAGAGGCTGTCTCAAACGTGCCCCATAGCCATTATTTGTCTTGGACCTCATATAGCATCCTGAAGGATGTTGCTGGACACGTACGTGCTCTCAGCTCCATTTCTCAGAAGAGTAAAGTCGAGGCCAAGAGAATTTAAGCTCCAAAACAACATTGTCTCCCGATGCAGTTGGCTCTTCTGTATACATTATCGCATCTCATTCTCAGAACAACACAGTAAGGAGCTAAATAGGAGAGGAGGCGTGAACTCAACTCAGTCTCACAGAAGTAGTAGAGCCAAGATTCAAACCCTATATTAGTCAGTTAAAGGAAGTTATTTCTTAGGTTTTCAGTGTCCACACACCTCACTACTTATGCCTCCCCCCCCACACACAGGTGGTCCCCACAGCACTCTATGGTCCACTCTCCCACAGCACTTATCCCAAAGCACATGTACATTTATGTCTATTTCTGTTAACAGTAGACTGCCAGCAACATGAGAGCAATGACCATGTCTGATTCGTCTTCATAGGGGCAGGAAGCCCCTAATACTGGACACAGCATTATATATTAGAGGCAATAAATATTCAACGGATAAATGTGCAAAAGGCAATAGAATATGAGCATCAGAAGGTCCATACCTGTTTATGAGAGTACAAAAAATAAAAAATAATAGACAAATCTAATGTCGACAGAAACACATAAGGTGGCATCCTTGGATTTCTTTTTTTTTTTTTTTTTTTTTTTTTTTTTGACAGGTAGAGTTATAGACAGTGAGAGAGAGAGACAGAGAGAAAGGTCTTCCTTCTGTTGGGTCACTCCCCAAATGGCTGCCACAGCCGGCACTGTGCCAATCCGAAGCCAGGAGCCAGGTGCTTCTTCCTGCTCTCCCATGAGGGTGCAGGGGCCCAAGGACTTGGGCCATCCTCCACTGCCTTCCTGGGGCCACAGCAGAGAGCTGGACTGGAAGAGGAGCAACTGGGACTAGAACGGGTCCCATATTGGATGCTGGCGCAGCAGGTTGAGGATTAACCAAGTGAGCCATGGTGCCGGCCCCTCCTTGGATTTCTTACACGGAATTGCAACATAATTATTTTTCCCTACAGAATTCCACAGTCTTAGAACCCTCTTCCTCCATGACTTCAAAAAAAGAAAAAACTGGTTGAGCTGCTTTTCCTCCTCCAGGACTTGAAAGTTATCTGCCAGTTGTTGTCATTGGAAAATAACTCTGTAATTAAAATTTTTTAAATCATGCCTTGAGCTTTTTCATGCTTTCGGGGTTGTTGAGTAAGAAACAAGTCCCAAGAATGGGATAACTGGGACAAAGGAAAGGAACATGTTTGTTGCTCTTGCTTCATATTGCCTGATTGCTTTCCAGTAAGGGATTATGCCCATTTACAGTGAAAAGCGACCTGAAACTCAGCCCCAAGGAAATGCAGACCTTGCCTGTCTCCAGAGCTGGCTCTAAGTTCCCCATTCTGCTGTGGCTTGTTAATATTAGTTCTGACCTTTGGGGTAACGTGAACACATGGTTGGACTGAAGAGAAAAGGCTCCGGTGGCTCAGGAACTTCTTTGGCAACTACAGCTGCTGATATTTCAACAGAGCACACACACATACACACACATCCTTAACAAGGGTGCTTCCTCAGCCTTCCCAGGAACCAAAACGGAACGCCTCCAGGCTCCCTCTTTGATGCCACCCACTGGACCTGCTTTGGGGGGTCAATAAATGCAAGACAACCAAGTGTTGGATTATTAGCGATGGAAGAAAAAACCTTAAGGAGAACAGGTAGGTGAGAAAGAAGACAAAGTAGACAGGAATTTCAAAAATCCAAATCCATTCTTTAGGTTCTCTTGGAAGCTTTCTTTGCATATGTGATCAGTTAAAGTGTGAATTAAAGGGTAAGGGGAGTTGGGAAAGGATGATCTCCACAACTGTATCTAATCTATCTATCCATGTGCTTTTTTCTATTCATTCTGATTTGCCTTTATAGGACACTGGCCCAAAGGGCAATTCTCTAGTACCTTTGAAAATCTCTCTAACTTGATCTATTTCAATTTCAAATGAAATGTGTACTAGAGATTAATCTCTTACCTCCACACTGGTGTCTAAAGTAGGGTTAATTTGCGGTGACACACTGAACAAGATCTGTAGCTTCTCTAGGCATCAGCAGCTCCCTTAGTAAAATGAAAATCAAGGTTCCTAACTGTATTTCTTCAGAGCACTGTCTGCAGATAAATAAAGAGCAATGGGAGGACAGGTACCAAAGCGTTTTGGAGACATTTCCATATCTCCATGCTCAGTCTGAGATTAGTGATCCTCCTTTTTCTATAGCATCCGCTGGTAATACCACTCACAACCATCTGACTGTTCTTCCTGAATGACTACGATCTGTGGAGAGTTACTCCTAGGACTAGAATGCAATAAGCTTTAGGGCCCTGGGTGTGGGACTGAAAGTAGTTGGGGGACGGTGGGCCAGAGCGGTGGTTGGGAAGTAAGTGTACCCTATGTTACTGCCACAATAACCAATATGCATATACTTGGCCTTAAGCATATGGCTAGTCTGCCTTGAGGCTCCTAAAACAACTCCCTCCTATCCCCACACACAAATGCTTCACCCCTATATACTCTGAGAATTACCATTACAGAGACCTCATTTGTGATTTTATTAATCATCACTGTCTTGGTGGTGAGATTCACCCCATATCCCATACTTTAGGAGGGCAGATTAGGATCTGAGGGCCTCAGGAAGTCACACGGTTTACTTTTCCTCCCTAGAAGTAGCCTCATTTTAGAATTTTCACCGCAGTTATTGGTCTCGAGTGAAAATCTTATACTGAATGAGCCTTTTTCCAGCAGTTCATTGGACCTTTTTCAGAGGAGACTTCATTCCCTTGTTTATTCTGTTCTGTCACATTTGTGGTTGAGAAACCTTTCTAGATGCTACCTTCTACCTCGGACCAAATTAGTTTCCCGATGCAATTCCCTCTATACCTCTCTGTTATAACATATACCTTGTTGGACTGGGATTACTTGTGATCATGTTCATTTCATCTAAGGCAGAGATTTAGACTATGCATGCTTGTTGAGCAAGTATCCCCTCTGTACCCAGCTTGAGATGTACACTGGAAACACTGATCACCAGTCATTGAGATCAAGGCCCCATGCTCAAGGATCTCACAGTCTAGCTGGGTAGCAGCAAGGAATATAGTTTTGGATACTTACGCAAATAGTTGGGAGCATATGTGCTATATCAGAAACAAAGACAAAGCCTATCCCAAACATACAGAGACAACTTCCTGGATAAGGGGAACATTGAACCAGGTCTTCAGGAGTGTGTCAGATTTCGTTGAGAATAGGAAGGAAGAGAAGGCATTCCAGACTGAACAAAGAAAGGCACAACGACAGTGTGTCTCGGGACCCAGTGAGTCAGCCAGTTCAGTTTAAGCATGGTATCTGAGAGGAGACATGACTAGATAGGTAGGCTGGGGGCTTGATTGAGATGTGCCCTCAGTGCCAGACTGGGATCTTTCCATGAAGTTTGTTTTGTTCTCCTTCTCTTTCTGTGATCAAAATTGGTAACACTGGTGAGGAATGTCATAGCTAGTTCCAGGCAGTTTTAAGTTGGGTTTTCAAGCCTGGAGTCCAGGTTTACTCTCTCAGACCTTGTCAAAACCCCTCTAACTACCTGTCTCAAATTTCCTGCTGCTAAAATTATCTTTATCTTCTTGGCAGGGTCATGAGGACAAAATTGTAAACATAGAAGAGGCATTCATGTGACTGGCTAGATTACCTTAGACAAGCCACCCCCACACAAGACCTCAGTTTCTCTGTGAGGTTAGAGAGGATGTTTGTAAGCAGATAAGAGTACAGGATATGTGTTGCTTTGTGAGCAATGGAAAACATGAAAAAAGTTATCAAGGTTATTGTCATTAACAGTTATACTAGTTAGGAGACTTATTAGGATTAAAAGGGTTGTGTCTTCTAGAGTCTAGTTCTGAGACTTTAGAGGTTTTAAAATAATCTGGAAGAGAAGAGCACACTCTTTTTTTTTTAAATTATCTTTAGTTGGCACATGATAATTGCACATATTTATGGGGGTACATGTGTGAGAACCAGATCCATTACTTCAAACATTTATCATTTCTTTGTGTTTGGAACATGCTGAATACTCTCTACAGGCTACTTGAAAATATACAATCAATTATTGTCAATCATAGTTAACCTACTGTGCTATAGAACCTTAGAAGTTTCTCCTATTTCAGTTGCATCCCTGTCCCCATTAACTATCCTCTCTTACCCACAACCCTTCCCAGGCTTGGGAACCCATACTTTACTCTCTGCATCTATGAGATCAACTTTTTAAGCTTCTATATATAAGTAAGAACACGAGGTATTTTTCTTTCTGTGCCTGATTTAGTTCATTTAACATAATGTACAAGACCACATTCTTAAATCAGTCTAGCTTGATTAACCAACCAAAGAAAATTCCTGTACTGGGAGATATCAGGTTCCCAATGTTCTACTCCTGCGTTGACCACTGATTTGCTACGTGACCTTAGGAAAATATTTCTCCTCTCTAGACTTCAGTTGTCTTACCTTAAAGCCTGAAATAAAATGATCTCCAGGGGATGTCTCAACTTAAATGTAAGTCCTTTCACAAAACCAGAAAAAGCAAAAATGAATTCATATGAGTGAGATGGTGAAGTATTTGGATTCATAGCAGCTCTTTATATTATAAATGTAAACTCTGCCATAATACTTGTTTCCATTACTGATAAAAGTTGCAAATTAGTCAAATAGTCAATTAAGCATTTATTTCACAAGGGGAGTAGCAGTGTTACTTAATCCAATTTAGCATTTCCCAAGTTGTTTTACATGTATGAACACATTGAAAATTTTTTTAAAAAACATTTATTTATTTATTTATTTGAAATGCAGAGTTACAGAGATGGGGCAGTGGAGGCAGGGGTGGAATTAATCTTCCATCCACTGGTTCACTCTAAATGGCTGCAATAGCCAGGTCTGGGCCAGGCCAAAGCCAGGAGCCAGGAACTCCATCTTTGTCTTCCATGTGGATGACTGGGGCTCAAGTTCTTGGGCCATCTTCCGCTACCTTCCCAGGTGCATTAGTAAGGAGCTGGATCAGAAGCAGAGTAGCTGGGACTCGAACTGGCATTCATATGAAATGCCTGTGTTGCAGGAGGTAGCTTAACCTGCTGAGCCACAACACCAGCCCAAACACAGTGAACTTTTTAATTTTAATTTGTAATTTGTTTTTAACAGATTCAATATGATTTGTAGATAAAATTCTAAGAACATAATGACATTCCCTTCCTCCTTCCCTCCCCCTCGCTCCCTTCCACCCTCCTTCCCTCTCTCTTTCTTTTTTTAAGGTTTTGAGATAACATTTTAAATTTACATTACAGTAAACAGGCTTAGTACTTAATCGAATAAGAAGTTTAACAAGGAAAAAGACCCTAGTTTAGTGGAAATATAAATAACTGCTATAAACAATAATTGGATGGAAAAATGACAATTTCACCCATATGCAGTAAATTTCAAAGTAATCACAGATCATTAACACCACAGTAGTACAACATTCTTAATCATTGGTGTGACAAAGCTATAAAAGCTTTACAAAACTATATTTGCAGCCTAAAGCTGTACCTATGAAATTTGTATTCATTAAATAAAAGCTTTCTTAAAAAAGCTATATTTGCAGCAATACTAATATACACATGCCAGACTTTTTTCTTTTTTTCCTTCTTTTTGTTGTTTGCTTTTTAAGTTTCAAATCCCACAATAAGGGAGAACATGTGGTATTTGTCTTTCTGGGTCCAGCTTATTTCACTGAACAAGATGTCCTCCAGTTGTGTTCATTTTGCTGCAAATAGTAGAATTTCCTTCTTTTTATCGCTGAATAATATCCCATTGTGTATATATACAATATTTTCTTTATGCATTCATCTGATGATGGACACCTTGGTTGATTCCAAATTTTGGCTATTGTGAACAGTGCTGATATGAACATGGTGGTACAAGTATATCTTTGATACACTGTGTTCAAGTTTTTGGGGTGTATGCCTGGTAGTGGGATTGCTGAGTCATATGGCAAGTCTATTTCTAGTTTTTAAAGAAATTTCCACACAGTTTTCCACAGTGGCTGCACTAATTTACATTCCCATCAACAGTGTCAAAATATCCCTCTTTGTCCACATCCTCGCTAGCATTTGTTACTCTCTGGGATTTTAGCCATTCTGACGGGCTGAAGTGATATCTAACTGTGTTTTTTTTTTTTTTAAGATTTATTCATTTACTTGAAAGACAGAGTTACAGAGAGACAGAGGCAGAGAGAGAGAGAGATCTTCCATCCACTGGTTCTCTCCCCAAATGTCCACAACAGCTGGAGCTGGGCCTATCCTAAGCCAGGAGCAAGGAGCTTAAACTGATTCTCCCACGTGGGTGCAGAGACCGGAGGACTTGGGCCATCTTTTACTGCTTTCCCAGGCCATAACAGAGAGTTGAATTAGAAGTGGAACAGCTGGTGCCCATAGGGGATGCCAGCACTGCAGGAGGTGGCTTTACCTGCTACTGCCACAGTGCTGCTCCCTCTTATTGTGGTTTTGATTTGCATTTCCCTGATGGTTAGTAACAACACATTGAATTTTAAACAATCCTAATCTCTCTCACGTTCCAGGTTTAAAAAAAAAAAACCCTGAGACACTGAACTTTTCATTAAACCCATAGCCCACAAAGGACAGAGGTGGGATTCTACTCAGGTACTACGGCTCCAGAGCCCATTGCTCTTAACCACTGTGATTGCCTGCTTCAGTAGATTTATTTAGATATGTGGGCTTGGAATGTGTTGGAAGTCTCACATGATTTCTACATAGAAACTGGAGGGAATCTAACCTTTGTGTAGACTAGGGCTCTGAGAATATATTTTAGGGAACTTTTTTAAAGGAAAAGTGGAGCTGAGAGCATTTGAGGGCAGAGATTGGAGAATTCTATCCCTGAGAGATTACTCTTGTGTAGCCCAGCTCAGTGGAAGAAAGTTGAGCTTCCTCATAACCAATCACTGGAGGTTCATCAAGGGGTGGGGAGGTTGCAAAAGAATGAAGTAACAGCACACTTGGACATCTTCCAGGCAACAAGCTCTGCAGTTACATGAGTTCTGCAGATAAATGCCTCAAAATTACTGGGGGTGGGAGAGGTAGAGGAGCACTGGTGGATGAAGGGGAGGCATCTGGGTAATAAACTTGTCCTCCTTTGAAGCTATTACTCCTTGCTCCCCACACCCTGCTATAGCCTCCAATCTCTTAAGGCTCCATACCCAGACTTTGCATGAGGAACTTTAGGCAGGTTTTGGATCACATCACAATGCCTTTCTCCCTGGGGCATATGATGGCAGCTGGCTGCCATGTGGGCAATATTTACCATCTCTCCCCCCAAGCAATGGCTGTACTCACTCCTCTCCCCAAGGTGTCAGGTTTACTCTGATTTATTTAGCCTTGGCTGGAGATAGTGCAGGATCAGATAGTTCCCATCTCTCCAAGAGTGCCCTAAGCAGCAGATTTTAGGAGGGAGAGGACATGAAGCAGGGAAGGCAGCGGGATCCAGGGGAGAGCAACATTGCAATGTTATTTTGGGTGGGGGTAGCCATGAGGTAGTGAACTGTCTGTTTCCAGTTTGGGCCTCTAATTGCTAGCTCAAAACTTTGCATTTTTCAGTACAGTCTCTGTGTTTTTGTACTTGACAACTTTGTACTTCGGGTGTGGGTCTATTTCTGAGTTGAAGCTTGACTTTCTACTTGGGCCTTTTTTTATTTCAAAGCTGTGATAGCTGCTGAGACTTACCTCCAACACCTTTGCCTCCCCACCCCACACAGGATGTAAGCACATGATCTTTGGTCTTCTATTTGCATATTCTACTAGTCCTGTCTTCATTGGAGGGAAGCGACTGGCCAGACCTGGGCTGTCTTGCTGGCTCCCTTCCTTGCTGGGCTCCAACTTATCTCCTATGTACACAGCCCTTGCAGTTCGGAGGCCTCTGCTGACCTCTGTTCAACCTCTCACTCTCTGCACCCAAGCCCCCACTGATACAGACAGGAGCAGAGACAGGCTAGGACTAGAGGAAAGAGGAGAGGGGGCTGGAGATAGGCTGTGAGAGGACTCAGAAGCCCAGTACGCCACCCCTTGTCCCAGTACTGTACACCTGCTGCTGTGGCCACAACAACTGAAGGGGCAGCTAATAAGTTAGGAAGTGAGGCCAGGTATCTTGTGGGCAGTGGTATCATTAGCTGCAACGCCTAAGATGTCTCAAGAGATGGGAGAACTCACCCAAACCAGGTTGCAGAAGATCTGGATTCCACACAGCAGCAGCAGCAGCAGCAGCGGGCTGCAACGGAGAAGGGGCTGTAAGTGGGGTTTGCTTCTGTGGGCTTCGATGTGGTGGCGGTGGTAGAATGGGTGTAGACAAGCCAAGGACTTCCAAATCTCCCATCAAGTCCTACCCCAACCTAGAGGCTGGAACACAGGAGCAGGTGGATGAAATCTCTGTGGGGATAACAGGAGGCTAATATCAGAATATATGAGAAAAAATGAAGTGAAAGACAAATGGAGAGAAAGGGATGAAGACAAAGAGTGGGGAGTAGGTAAAGACCATCTTAGACACAGAGAACTTTGACTAGGAACTTTTCCTTTTGAATTTAGAGTTCTGGAATACCTCTGGTTTGAAATTTAAGGTTTTCAGTTTAGGACTGTTCAGTGTTAGGCTGGAATGTTTCCTTTTGGTGATTTCTGTGTGAAGTCTGTGGAAATTGGTGTTGTCTGATTGTGCCGGGGTGAAATAAGGTGATGGGTTCTGGCACTATGTCTCAGAGAACAGGTGCTGGGTACACAACAGCCTCATTTCACTGGTCAGTATTGCTCTGCTACTTTCTCAAACCTCCTCTAATAATTCTTTACCTGCCTGGGCTGGGAAAGGCTGGGTGTCCTTGCTTCTGTACCACTTTTGTGGCACATAGGGACCCACTTATTCTTCTGGGGATTTGAGAGAGAAGACAGTCTGTCAGGGCCATCTTGCCAGTGCAGTGTTCAGTTTGAAAATGTAAGAAAGAGCAGGGGCAAAGGAGAAACCAAAAAAAAAAAAAAAACACCTCTAAATGCTTTAAAAAAAAAAAACTGGAGAATACCATTTCCCATAGATAACGGGTCAGTTGTGGAACAAGGTGCTTCCAGCTCAAGGATTATGGCCTGCAGAGCCAGAAGGTGGGTGGAGATAAGAGCACTATGGACTGGGACCCAGACATCGCAAGGACCAGCTGGCCAAGCTTCCATGCTGCTTATGCTAGAGGAGGTCCAGGTTCAGGGCTTTTGAGGGGGAGCAGTAATTGCCTAGAGGATCCAGGAAGATGTAAGTTGTTAAACATTGTGTGTGGGATATAGAGTATGGCTTGAGGAAAAAGAAGAAAGAGCACAGGAACCAGCCTCCTGTATTCCTTCCTTCATCAGAAATTTCACTCGCAACTGGAGATCTAGAAGCCTGGATGAAATTGAGCTACATCCCACCCCACCCATCAAGCCACTCTTTATTCTTTCCAGGGAGATGTTGGGCTTACCTGACAAGCAGGCAAGGCAATCTCTGCAACCGTGGATCCTCCAGAATCAGATCCCTCACATTCCTGGGAACTATTTCAAGTTGGAGAGATAATATGCATAAAATTACCTAGTATTGTGTCTGTCACATAGAACGTGCAAAATAATTATGTGCTCATTTCATTCTGAGCCTTATTTTGCTGTGCTGTAAAGCGGGATTAATACCTACCTCCCAGTGTTGTTGAGCTGATTCACTGATTCAGAGATTCTGGATCTAGACTGCCTAGGTTTCAGTCGCAACTCTGCCACCTTCTGCCTCTGTGACCTTAGACAAATCTCCCTGTGCTTCCCTTTCCTCACCTGTAAAACGAGTAATCGTGTTACTGTGAAGAGTAGGTGAGCAGAAACAGAGTGTCCAGCATATAGTACACACTCAATAATACCTAAATGTTTAGGTATTATTATTTAAACAAGAAGGTGAATGTGTGATCTTCTTAATCATCATATCTACAGCATCAAGCACTGAGCCTGGCACATACACATGCTTAGTGAATGGTCACCCTGTGTGATGTCACTGTACCACTCACTATAACCAGGAATGGAACTCTGTATACACAAAAGTCATTCATTAGTGCTTGACTGAATTTCATCAAACCACAGATTAAAAACAACACAAAACAACAAAAAACCCAGTGGTCACCAAGTCTTGCCTTGGAAAATATCTACCTCACCTCCCCCATACTGGGGAGGCAAGGCTATTGACCCCAAGAAGATCTATGTTGCTTGCTTGCAGCATCCTATTTAAAAGACACACAATCACTTAATGTTGTTTGAGAATTAAATGGATTAATGTATGTCAAGTACTTGAATATCCATATGTATTATTTTCTCATCCAACGTTATGTTCATGCACGACACTTATATTATTGTGACAGGCAGTTGTGGCTTGTCTATTATTACTTGTTGTGAATACCCCACAGTTTATTTATCCATCTTACTGTTGGTAAGCATTTAGGGTCACTTCTAGTTTTTAGTTACAAACAATAGTTTAATGGTCATTCTTTTACTTTCTTGAGGAATAAGTTCCTCCATCTTGTCCTTCTTGGACTGTCTTCACTGTGTTTGGCCCATCACACTCCCCATAAATTTTGGAATAAGCTTTTCAAGGTAGACACACATACCAGATAAAACTTTTGGGATTTTGTTTAGAATTACGTTTGGTCTGTAAATCCATTTGAGGACAGTTAATATCTTGGTGGTATTGACTTTTCCATAAACATAATATGTCTTTATATGCATTTAGACTTTTTTCATGCTATTTGAGTGTTGTTTTGTAGTTATAAATGGCTTGCACATCATTGGAAATTGGTTTTTGCTTACTTTGCTGTTGTTATAATGAACAGTAAGATTTTAGAAAATTACATTTTGTAATAGTTTGTTGCTAATATGTACAAATGTTTTTGTACAATGAATTTATAACTAGTAAACCTACTAAACTTCCATAATAGTTTTTGATAAATTATATGTAAATGGAAGCTTTCATTTTTCCTTTCCATTCCTTATGGTTTTCTTTCTATTGTGTTACTGCACTGCTAAGATCTCCCATAGCTATCTCTCTTTCTGACTCTCTGTTTCTCTTATACACACACACATGCAAACGCACACACAGTATGTGCAATACAATGCTGAATAGAAGTGTTAATATTGTGCATTTTTATGTTGATCCTGATTTTAAAAGAAATGCTTTGAAAGTTTAGCTATTGAGTAAATTCCTGACAGTCTTTTGGAAGATGTCATTACACAGATTAAGGAAATTCCTGTTTATTCTGAGTTTGTCAAGATACTTTTTAAGATGAGTGACTGTTGAGTTTAATTGTGTTTTCTGTGTTCACTGAAATGATATGCTTTTTTAAAAAAAGTGATTTATTTATTTGAAAGGCAGAGTTAACAGGGAGAGGGAGAGGGAGAGGGAGAGGGAGAGGGAGAGGGAGAGGGAGAGGGAGAGGGAGAGGGAGAGGGAGAGGGAGAGGGAGAGGGAGAGGGAGAGGGAGAGAATCTTTTATCTGCTGGTTTACTCCCCAGATAGCCACAATGGTCAGAGCTGCGCTGATCCTAAGCCAGGAGCCAGGAGTTTCTTCCAGGTCTCCCACACGGGTGCAGGGACCCAAGCACTTGGACCATCTTCTACTGCTTTTCTAGGCCATAGCAGAGAGCTGGATCAAAAGAGGAACAGCCAGGAATCGAACTGGCACCCATATGGGATGCCGGCACTGCACGCATGGTGTTACCCTCTAGGCCATGGCACAGGCCCTAATATGTAGACTTTTTTATTTTAACATGTTAATGTGACACATCAGATTAGAGATTTTCTTCTGTTTAACTAATCTGGTAGTTCTTGGATAAATAAAACCTTCTAAATTGAATTCATTCATTCTTCTGTTTTGTTTTGGATTTTTAGCATTTTGTTCAGGAATAAAATTGATCTGTCATTTTCCTATTCTCATGTTGTCCCTGTTGGAGTTTGGTATGGAGGTCATACTAACCATAAAATGAGCTGAGAACTATTTCCTTTCAGTCTGTTCTCTGGCAGAAGTTGTCCAAGGAACTATCTGTTCCTCAAATATTTGGCAGAACTTTCAGGTAAAACCATCTGGGCATGGTGTCTTCTTTAAAATTGTAACTGATACAGTTTCTTTAATAGTTACAGACTCATTCCATTTTTCTATTTCTGCTTAAGTCAGATTTGTTAAGTTATGGCTTTCTAGACATTATTCTACTTCACATCATTTTTCAAATTTATTTGTATGAAGTACTATTCCATGTCTTTTTAATCTCTGTTACATTTGCAACTATGTCCTCTGTTTTGTTCAAATATTGTTTATTTGTTCCTTCCCTTTTTTCTTCTTCATCATTCTTACCAGAAATGTGTCACTTTTAAATTCTTCTAAGGGAATCAACTTTGATACTTTCTATTATATCTTTATTTTGTTAAATTATTTTTCTTTTCACTAATCAGTTTCTTGCACTTTCTTTGGATTTATTTTGTTCTGTTTTAACTTTTACAGTTGGATAATCAGCTCATTAATTTTTATACTTTCTTATTTTCTTTTATTATTTTTTTATTTTTATTTATTTATTTTTGACAGGCAGAGTGGACAGTGAGAGAGAGAGACAGAGAGAAAGGTCTTCCTTTGCCATTGGTTCACCCCTCAATGGCTGCTGCGGCCGGCGCACCGCGCTGATCCGAAGCCAGGAGCCAGGTGCTTCTCCTGGTCTCCTATGGGGTGCAGGGCCCAAGCACTTGGGTCATCCTCCACTGCACTCCCGGGCCACAGCAGAGAGCTGGCCTGGAAGAGGAGCAACCGGGACAGAATCCGGCGCCCCGACCAGGACTAGAACCCGGTGTGCTGCACTGCAGGCAGAGGATTAGCCTATTGAACCGCGGCACCGGCCTATACTTTCTTATTTTCTAATATAAGCATCAATACGATAATTGATCTACCAAATAGGTAGATAGGTGCATATTGAATAGCTATACAAAGTTTTTAAACACTTCCAGACAACCTGATAAATAGGTACTACCCCAGCCTGTCTCAGTCTTTCCAACACTTACACATTTGTCCTGACAAACGCAGTTCCTTTCCCAGGACTGGTGTGATCTACTGATAATCAGCAGCTAAAGGGTTAATGCACAGCAAAAGATTTCCAGTACTTGGCACCATCCCTAAGTCAGACTTCTGTTTTGACAGATCAGTAACCTTGCCATTTCCAGCTTAATTCCATTCTGGTTAAGGAACAAATTTTGCATTATTTCAGTTCT